AAGGACATCGGGGCTGCCAGACCTGCACCTGCTGTAATTTAACGAATAGGGTTTTAACGATCTATTGATGTCGCCGTGTCCGAACGCCTGATCAAGGTACCTAACGGAAAGACACGACTGCAGGTCGCACTACTTGTACCTATGAAAAATTAACGAAATCATCACCTGTATTCCCCCGTTTCCTCCACCGAAATTGGACCAATTTTAATATATATCAAAAACATCATAAAACTGATATTGATTATGATTGTGATGATGTTGATTATGCCCGTGTGAACCCGTGTGACGGCTACGTCTGTGTATGTTTTGCTTTTACTTTTTATTTGTTCTCCTTACATGCCTGTCAATTTTAGTAATTTTAAAACATACCATACAACCATGGTAATGGACATAGTATCGTAAAATTATCTATAACGGATAATAAATGAATAAATTTAGGTGAAAATATTTCATAAAAATTTGTATATTTTCCTGGGAGAAAACAGAGGAATATATACGTTTGTATAGAGTATAGACTAAACGTCGCCCGGATATCTTACAATAGTATTTGATTGACCTATTGTATCCTAACGTAACATTTTAACCATTAATTACTATATCAGTTTACTAAGCTGTGCACTTTTTTAGCTTTGACAACAATATTTACAACGTGAGCACTAACGCGTATTGTCGTTGGATTCTTTCATCTGTACCTAAATATATAATCTGTACACTTGTACGCTATAAAATTTGCCAGAAGTTAAAAAAAATACGGCAATATTTTATAACAACCTTCAGTTCTTGAAAAAAAAAATAAGATGTACAAGTAAGTGAATAGTTTAAAACTTTAAGCGAGTCATTAAAACAGTTTTCACGATTTTTCTTATATATTGCATATAATTTCATTAATTTCACTATGTGAATTTATTCGGTACAGTCGACAGAATGCCTGTTAATTAAATAAATTATCCTATAAAATAAATTTTGGCTTTAACAAAATCTCTCAAATACACAAATTTTGCATAGTTTAAAATATATTTGATTTCACACATTAAACACAGAATGTAAATTTATTCAATATGAAATATATTCGAAATAAAATTTATACATTTAAAAAGAGTTGTAGTATCTGTGTGTATTTTTAGGTTAACATAACATTGGTCTTTAAATAACATTGGCTGTGCATATCTCCAGGACCAATAAAGTTTTGTTTTACTATATTAACTCGAAAAGGTTCCGAAGGTATGATTTTTTGACGACAGGGCAAATCTAGTAAGCACAACATTATTATTTTGCATACTTACATTTGAATGAAAATCATAAATTTTTGTGTAAATCGGGTATGTACATGTTTTGTAAAGGCTTAATTTTATTCATAATATTTCACATAAAACATAATACATAATAATAAAAAGTACGATATTATATTTAGAAATATAAATTGAATATGAAGTCAATAGCATATAATTCAAAACTACATCGATACGTAAAATTAGTTGCTGTAAAAATTTAGTAATAGTAAAATGTAAGTACATATACTATTTACTTATATACAATATATAAAAAAACCCTTTCCGATCTGAAAGCGGCACGTAGTTTGATACCACAAACATATTACCAAAAGTAAACATTCATTGTTATTTTAAAATATATGTTTTTAATACAATTTGCTTAAATACGGCAACACCGTCGTGGCAGTTTCTGAAGTGACTGCAAGTGTGCAGTTTTAGCGTTTTAAATCATAATTTCTAATGAATGAATAATAAACTGAAGCCCTGGGGTCAAACAGAAATCAAAGTCGTGACCCATTTTATGTGTGGCAGTATTGTGACCCGACGGCCATGACGGACCATTTTCCCATTTAATTAAAATATATTTGTTGTGGGTTAGTTTTTTTTTATTTTTTCTCTAACTAGGATTACTTATATGGCCAGAAGCAAATTGTGATATCTGAGAGCACCCTCTCACGGAACGAACAGGTTTTTTTTAAATATTGTATTATTTTACATACGTTTCCTATCTATTTCACACAGATAATAAAATAATAAATAGATATGCATGTGAGCTGCCTATAAGTAATTAGCAGTACGTTTTTGTTGTTTTCATTTAAATTATTATTTCTCTTAAATTATACCTACTACGCAACCAAAGAGCAGTCTCAGAATATTTCATCGGTTAACACGTGTTCCATTCATCTTGCTTCTTTCATCATTTAGTTGTGTAGACCTGTGTAAAACAAATCAAATTTAAAAATCATTAATTAATTAAGTCATTACAGCCTATCAAAGTCCACTACTGATAGGCCTTCCCTATCGATCGCCTAGAGGCGGGGAGTGGGGGTGCGGGTTACAGCCTATCAAAGTCCATTACCGATAGGTCTTTCCCATAGATCGCCTCATAGGGAAGATATTTGCCATAGTTGTCACGCTTAGCATGCAGGTTGGCAACTGCAGTTTCTTTTTGTTGTTTTAATTTGTTATCAGAAAGACACTGTTGCTCATCTTTTATTTGATTTCCCTCTGTCGCTCCTTTCTACACCCACGGCATGTTATGGTTAAGGCATAGTGATTTTTTTTGTTTACGCTCTCACTTACACTACGTATCAAATATTATAATAATATGCTATTTATTATTTGTTGACTCAGTAATACTCTCCATAATATGCTCATGCTAAAGAGAAAGTTAATCTAACCGCGCTTCCTATAAACTAAGTTCAAATCTATTTTGAATGTGAAACCTTTACAAACATGATCTAGAAATTTGATTGCATGGTGTTACATATTACAAACTATGTCACATTCTGAATGTTTCTGCATTCTCTATTATTAGGGAAATATTACACAGTTATATTTTTATTGCTGGAAATGGGCCCCTCACTGTAGAGGAAATTTGAAATATTCGCCATACTTGGCGGACAAAATGGCAAATGTAGAAATTGGCGAAATGAGTCCCTCTAGGTAGGTACTACCGTTACCTATTTTAATTAGCAGTGGATGCACTGCTCTGTTCTAATTTAAAAAGTATAGATAGCTAGTATGGTTGCAGTGTGTGAGGCATTCCATCTTAGTTCTCAGAGGTGACGTGGCATCTGTTACCTTCCTTGTTTGAATATGGTTGCAGGTGTCCATGGGATGTACTAGCCACATAACATCAGGTATATTATAAGTTCGTTTGTCAGTTTAGGTTTATAAAAAAATTAGGTTTCTCAAGCGTTTTTCATTCACCGCGGAACACGTGGTCATAACAGAAAAAATTACAACGATAAACCTGTTAACATGTTGAAGTGAAAACTTCTTTAGCATCGTTGTGATTTGAAACAAATAAAACGAAAAAGCGACATTAAAACGAGATAAATATATATAAAGCTAGAGGAGAGAATGAGATAGAATCTAAAGTAAATTTGATAAAGCGAAAGAAGTTTTTTGTTTGTTTAATCGCTAATCTCTGGAACTACCAGTCCGATTAAATACATTATTTTCTTATTCTTTCTTTTTTATATATGATAACCAGATTCACGAGAAATAGTATAGGCTATCCAGCATTAAGCTACACCTCACAACTAGCCTTAAATATTGATTTTTGTTAAGCAAGTCGGAAGAAAAAGCGCTCCCAAAATGATTTATACGCGTGCGCTGGCGTAATGGTTAGTGATACGTAAGTACTATGTTCTACAAAAATATAGATCTTTCTTCCATCTAAAAAAAGTGCGCGATACCATATTCCTATTTCTTATACATAAGTCACAATAAGGTATTTTGTAACAAAATAATATTGAAAATTAAAAAGTGTTTTAAGAGCGCTATTATTAAGCACATCACATTAATTCTTACGAAGGAAAGTTACTTCGTCATCAAGACAATTTTATAAAGACAAAACTTTGCTCTTCATAGCATATTATTTAGTTTAAGAGATGAAGAAAAATTAAAGTAATTCTATCTCGGCTCAGCGCGCGAAGGATACCTAAACCCTCGATGTGAACCGAAAGAGAATAAGCAAGGTGTCATGTCACGCGGTTCAGAGCGTACGCGGGTAATACCGCGGGGAACAGCTAGTTCAGTATAAAGTGTTTCCTATTATCTTGGCCTCCTCCAAAAACCGCTAATATAACTTTTAAATGTTAAAATAAAGAATTAAAAAATTACAAATTTATTATCAAATAAATAAAATTTATTACATTGAATAAAATTATCATTTATCGAAACCATTCTTAATAATCCACGATTTCACATCTAACCGATTTATGGACCACCTTGAGAGTCAATCAATTTTTGTTTCCTGGTTTGATAAAATTATTTTACCTATAATAAAGAATTCAATTTAAAGGTAAAATCATTTTATTCAAACAAAAACTGATTGACTTCAGCAGACATCGCTATTACAAAGCAATTTTCGTCGAAATATAATATTATTTTGATTTAATACACTAAAATTTAGGATACATGTCTAAAAATAAGGATTATAATATTTGATTATTTATTTAACTTTTATGTTATATATTTTATGCCGAAATTAATTCTAACAGTGGTAGAGCCACGCGGCAGCTTTTGCTGTCGCATGGATGGGCCGGCTTGAACCGGGGTGGTACGACCTCACAGAAAACCAGCGTGAAGTAGAGGTTTACCTCTGCGTTTTGGTTTGGTGAGTGCAGGTGGCCGGAGGCCCTTTTTACTGGAAATGAGGCATTCCATCTTAGTCCTCACGGGTGACAACGCATCTACATTTTGATTTGTAATAGAGGATAGATGTAGATGTCTATGGGCCGCAGCAACCACTTAGCATCAGGTGGACTGTGTGCTCGTTTGTCACCCTTATCCTATAAAAATATAATATTTTGATAAATATAATATTTTGTTTTATACATTTCATTTGAAGGTGTCACTTCTAACGCGTGTGATCTGCACACATGATTTTTTTGTTGCTTAATATATTACAATGTTTGATATAATATACTTTTTGGCACAGGCCTTGTAGCCAATGCAACAAATGAAGAAAAAATACCTCGTTTGATGAGCAGCGCCTTACTAGCACATGGTCTCTGGAGGTGCGGGTGGTGCGGGGGGTGGCTGCGGGGGGTCGGCGGAGCGCTGGCGCGGCAGCTGCGACGAGTCCAGCACGATGGACGGCCGCGGCCGCGGGTTCTCGCTCTGCATGTGCGACAGAGACAGCTCGCTCGACGCGTTCGTCTCGCCTGTTCCACGATACAATTAAACAAATTTATTTGAAAACAGATTAATTAATCGTGTAGTTGGGGTGTAAGTTCACTACCCCATATCTTTCCGTAGGTGTCCTAAGAGGTGACAGAGAGAAACAGACTAGGCTTGCCAACCTTGCCAACCTGCCTGTCAATCGTTTCTTTTTTATAGAAAAGGGGCAAACGAGAATACGGCTCACCTAATGGTAAGTGATTACCGCCGCCCATGAACAACTGCAACACCAAGCTAATTGCAGGTGCATTGCCGACTTTTAAAAAAGGAGTAAGCTCTTTTCTTGAAGGTCCCTAAGTTGTATCGGTCCGGAAAAATTGCCGGTCGTAAGTTATTCCACAGAGAGTACGTGCGCGGAAGAAAATTCCTAGTGAAAGGTACAGTAGTGGACCGCCAAGCATCCAAATGGTGTGGATGGTATCGGGGATTTTGCCATGATGTGAGTTCGTGAATTTTGGCGGCTGGGATTAATCCGAACAATTCCTCAGAGCACTCCCCGTGGTAAATGCGAAAGAAAATTCAAAGGGATGCAACATCTCTTCGCAGCGCCAGTGAATTGAGCCGATCGGAAAGGACACTGCGCTGGATACGGTCAAATGGAAGGAGCTGACAGTGGGATGTCCCAACCCAGAGATGGGAACAGTATTCCATGTGAGGCCGAACCTGAAATACCGTCCCGCTCTGCTCTGCTGCCAAGGTTTTTAGATGAAAAATAATTTATGGCAAATATACCCCCTATGAGACGGTCTAAGTGAAGGCCTATATTCAGCAGTGGATTTTAAACCATTATCAAGCTTCCGTGCCGTTATTCGAAAGAGAGTTGCATTCCTCATGCGCAAAGGTCCATGGGAGCTCCAATTGCATTCTGAGGGCAATATCTAGTAAATTCCGAGTTGACTTTTCCGATGGTATTGGTATTGTGTTATATGCCGACCAAAGGCTGGTGGTCGTCAGCGTCACCTTTACCTACAGGCCTCCTTGGAGAGGGCCAAGGGGCTTGCAGAGCTTGAGAAAGAAATTGTCGTCGCCGAAATCCGCGAGTATATCATTTCACATGACCTAGGCCTTCACAAATTACCACGGCACAAGGAACCAATCGACTCATGCGTATGCGTAGATGGGTCTGAAGTCAGAGTGAGGCAGTATATGTAATATTTGGATAGTCGCTAGTAAATAAAGAAGAAAACGTATGTGGAGTGCGTGTCAAGAAATCAAGCATAGTTTCGGAGTCACTTGAAATGTACATAGGTAGTGTTCTGTATATCTTATTATCATGTTAATTTGAGTGAGTAACAGTGAGTTAAGATGTCAGGTAGAGTCTTATTAGTCTATATCCTCTCTTACTTTTAATTGTTATTAAGAAAACGCCGCTGCCTATCTTCTGGTTTATTTCCTTTTGTCGCCTTTTATGATTCACGTACCTTAGTATACGTATACTATACCACCATATTTTAGTTTTTGAATATTTGAGATAGTTACCACACTATCTATTTGATATTTGTATTTATGGCATATGACGGGGTTAGGTTATAGATTAGGGTAAGCATTCATTGTACATAGAAAATTGATAAAAAGAAATCACCTTATGTTAAAAAAATTACCTGAAGGTTGCCTTGGTACTGGTAGAAGTACTTCTCCGCAGGTGTCATCATCCAACAAAGGTTGTAGCGGCGATGGCAGCTCACGACTGTCGATTGCGGATGAACGTCGTAGGGAATGTCTATTGTGTCAAAAGCAAAAGCGTGAAAACATTTTGTACTTGAAACTTATTATAAATATGAATCATTTTTTTTTCGCAGTGTAGTGCGTTTTAAAATAATCTACTGCACCATACCATCCTGTTGGTATCGCAAAAGGTGACAGAGGGAAATCCAGCAGCAAATGAACAGCAACACCGTGCTGATTACAACTAGAAACAGTAATAAAAATTGGTTACTAGCCCGCCTGGCAAACATGGCAATTTTGGCAAATATCCCTCCCATGAGGCAATCAATGGGAGAGGCATATGTTTAGCGGTGGATTTTTATAGGCTGTGATAAATGAATAAATATAGTATTGGTTAATTAAATATATTATATTATGGTTTTGAATGAAGCAACAGATGTGTTAGGATCGTTCAATTGGAAGTTCGTTGTCTATGTCTCTGGGTGACGAGCATAAGAGTTTACGACGTATATATATAAATTGGAGTTTAAAAATTGTTACCTAGCAAACAATATTCAGAATAAAGCTTAGTGTGGTATGTTCGATATGTATTATCCCATTGCGTCCCGTGGGTGTCGTTAGGGGAGACTACGGGATATGCTAAGAATGACTTATGATTTGCGATAGATGGCAGTAGATAAAGAATATAATGGAGTAGAGTAGAATAGAATAATTTTTATTCAATATAGTGCACAAGTATTTGTAATCCTTATTGAAAATCATATTTATTTTACCACAGGTTCGGATAAAAACCTCTGTCCCGGAACATTGCCACAAAAATGAATTGCTGACTCTGTGGAGTCGAGAAACTGGTATCTTATGTTTGTTCCTAGTGTTTACAGAGTGTATATAACTTTTTTTTACTAAATCTAACTTTGTTTTTGTGAACATATATAAAATTTTCTTAAATATACTGAGAGATTTGGCCTTAACATATTTATTTTTTCAAAATTTTCTCCGAGAGCCTCTTTCGGTTTTTTAAATAGCTCTTATGGCCCTCTTCTACCATCACTATCATAACCATCTCGCCTTGTGTACGCCAAGCTTATAATAGCATAATCCACTACCGTGCGATTTACGTGGAATTTTCTACCTTGCACAACCACACTGTGGAATTAACAGTCACCAGCGGTGTTTGCGGACCAATACGACTTTAGAACCTCCAAGAAAAGTACTCCTTTTTAAAAGGCCGGCAACGCACCTGTGATCCCCCTGGGGTTGCAGATGTGTATGCATAACGGTGATCACATATCACATTAGTTGGGCTGTATACTCGTTTGCCTTTTCTTCTATATATAAAAACAAATATCCGAATCGGTAACAGGAAACAGGGTTAAAGGTGCGAAGCCAGCATGTTGGCGGACTTACGATGTTTAACTCCACCGCCGAGTACGTGGTAAGTCAGCACTTAAAATTGCAACTAACAATTTCTAACTAACATCATTATGAAAAACTTTTTTGGTTCAATCACAGTTCCAGTTTTCGACATCCTAGAGCCATGCTGCAGCTATAAAATGGTTGTAATGCGAATGGTTTGACCAGGGAAAAATCACGCTGATGACAGCGTGATTTCCATGAGGAATACCGGCGTAAAATAACAGCTTACTGCTTTATACAGTAAACACGCATTCCATTTTAGGGGTGACTACGCATCTGCATTTTTATTCTCAATAGAGAAAAAATGTAGATATCTATGGGCCATAGCATTCACTTACCATGATGTAGACTGTTTGCGTTTGTAAGCCTTATTCTATTTAAAAAAGTCTCGGGCTCCTTACCTCTGATGCGACAAGCGGCGGTCGGCCACGGTCAGAAGCTGCGCGGCGCGCGGCGCGGGCTCGTCGCTCGCGTTCACGCACACGCTGATGCTGACCGCGCCCGCCTCACCCCCCGCACCCCCAGCACACCCCGCGCCCGACGCCGACCCCTCGCCACCCTCCTCCTCCTCGAATCTGCCCAGGACAGACTCCATTGCTATGCTACAGTCGAGTGACAGTGTCTTTTGTAATGTACATATTATTTTTTGTATATGCAATACTAGAACTCTTTTATTGTCAGAGGTTAGGCAATTTAAAAAAAGAGGTTCTCAATTCGACTGTAGGCTTTTTTATGTATGTTAAGTAATATTTTCATCAATTGTGAAGTGGTTTTAATACTTTTTTTATTAAATGTCTAAAAATGTCTCTATAGAGACATGAGAAAGATAAACTTGAGATTGTGATACTCCTTAGTTTATTTAAAAGAGCAAAAAAATTAACTTTTAATAAAATTTAAAAACCGACTAACGACACCGTCGACGAAAAGGCGACTGCAAAGTACTGAAAAGAAATTGATATTTTTTTAAGTTCTTTACAGTCGGTTTAGTTTTTATGAATTTTTTTTTGTATGAGATTAAGTAAATTTCCATATCCATTTTTACTTCTCAAGATTAAAATTAATCATAAATAAGTTACGCAGCAGTGTAAATGAATCCTCTTGCCTAACGATCTTGGCTTTGATGACCGATAAACGACGATATTTCTATTCAAAAATGCCAGTATCAAATCTCATAAGTTTGGAAAATAGCATCATGTGAGGAGAGTTTAGGCTCTACGCTCATCAAGCCACCGTCCAGCTTGATGAGGGTAGGCAAAATTATTGCGGTAAATAAAGAAAGGTTGGTAAAATCGTATTTAATGTAAATTAACATAATAAAATATTTCACAACGGTGTGCTCCGTGAATGAAATAAGAATTGTTCGGGTTAATTTCAGCAGCGAAGTTCCAACATCGTACACTGCAAGATAATCCTAAATTCAATTTAGAATATCGCGCAGGTTGGTTGGTTTTTTTTTAGGAATTTCCTTCCATGTCATGCACAACTACATTGCGTAATTGACATAGGTACCTAGCTCCGCAATGTACCTGGAATCCCTCTAGTATTGTTAACGTTCATGGGCGGTGATCAGGTGAGCCGAATCCACATTTGTAAACTCTTCTATAAATATCTTTATAATACGCGGTTAAAACGTCACTTACCGGCGCTGTATAAGGTTCTCCATGATAATATAGTCATCTTCCTCAGCCCCTCTTAAATGCTCCTTCTCCATGAACAGTGCAAACTCAGGGTTGGACATCTCGCTGGCGTGACGCCTCCGTACCGACGGGGACGCGGCTCTAGCGGGAGACAGGAGACGTGATGTTATTGGTGTCCTTGAAGGAAAAGGACTGGTCAGCAAAGTTTGTTTAGGAAACTATGAAGACTTATGTGGCACTAAACTGGTTTCATGGGGATGTTTTGTTGCCGGTTTTATTTTAATTACTATTAAACCCTCTTCCTGTTTCTTTACTCTAAAATCGGCCTAGATTGGAATCGCCTTTTTACTGCTTTGGTAGTATAGTTCCAGGCTGTGAGACATTTTGTCTTACATCTCAATACGTGACAACGCACCTGTGGTCTTCTGTTTATGGTTAAATAATGATGTCCATAGGTTGTAGAACCCACTTTTCATCAGGTGAACTGTTAGCTCATTTGTGACTCTAGTAACTTGTTAATGAGGTAACATGGCGACGGCGACGCTATTATGCGTATAGTTTTCTTTTTTGTATATAGTGATACTAATAATATTTGAATAAGTTTTGACATATACTATATTTTGAAATGTGATGTTAAACGAAGGGATTTCAACAATGCTCTTTAAAGGTATAGTAACAGTTAATAAGTGATTTTATGGCTGATAAAAGATCATATAAAAATTAAAAAGCTATAGTAAATGTATAGTAGCCTTATTGATACTTAAGGCTGGTGAAGGGTACGGACGTCAAACTTAAATAGTAGTAAGATCGTCCGCCAATTGATTTCTTACATAATATAACTATCACTAGCTCCGTATTGCAGCTCTAGACACCAGAGTAATACAAATGTCAGTTTCTATTCATGAGGCCAAATCTCAAATATTGGCAAATTATCTTATATGACAGATGGTGGTTTGATTTATAGTTCTTCTAATTAGATGGTAGAGTTTTTAAATACATGTTAAAACTTCTTCCAGTTATTGAGGAATTAAGAAACTATGTTTTATTATCGTATTTTCAACTTGCTATTCAAGTAGAATAGATTTTCGTTAACTGTTTTGTTAATTTAGTTATCCGCAATCAAATTGAAGTTTTGAATACATTGCCAGTAAAAGCACAGAACACTAATACCCTTAGGCGGGAGTAAAAGTCAACCGAACCAATGACATTTAATAACTTTTGTGTTGCTGACACTGCTGTGCTCTATGGTCAGAAAGTTCTAAAAACTAAAGGTATGAAAGAATTAGACAAAGTATTTTAAAATCGTTAGTCATTTGCTCTGAGCAAGGACAAACATTTCAACACTATGAGCTTCAGTATACAATTATTATCTATGAAACTGAGTGCTGATGTGGTCAATGGTGGTCATTTTTGTTATTAAAACCTGCAATTTATAATAAAAAAGGGGAACCTTTTTGATATCACACTAAGATTTTGTTGATAAAAGTTCATTATTACCTTGGCGTGTGCGGTGGCGAGAACAAACCATATACGGTCTCCAGCTCATCGGTGATGCTGGTGTACTCGTGCATAGCCAGCAGTAAGGAGCGCGGGGCTCCCCCCACTCTGGTGCGACCGGAGGGGACGCCTGCAGCGCCACCAGTAGCTTCCCAGCCACACTGACGTCCTAGCGCAAAGGTAACTTGTTCAATTTCTTTTACCGGATGTCACTTTTTTAGTATTATATTATTACTAATATTACATATTCTATCCTATCTAATTTTATTTATTTTTAATTCCCGGCGTTTAGGGTACTTCACCACACCCATAAAAATAAATAAAATTCAGATAAATTAGACGCGATAAAATACGTCAAATTAGTTAAAATAATAAATAAATTTTTCATTAATTAACTTATTATATTTTAAAATTAATCACAATATTTATTGTATTTACTTACAGCTCAACAATTTTAATAGATTGTTAATTATCTGGAAGTACCTGAATTGTACGTACGTTTTTTATAATATTTCCTTTTGAGAATTATGAATGGCGCATGGGCTATATATAAAAAATACTTTTAATTAAAAGTAAAAGTCAATTTCAATGAATATAAGAGAATAAAATAATGTCATATTAAGAGCCGGTGCTAAAACACAGTATATTATGCGTGATTTTTCAACGGTTGAGTCGACGTATTTGTGCTGCAGCTATACGCTGTGGCATGTTCTACTGCGAGTCTGTACATGATAATCATATTAAATAATGTCGTCCAGACTGAATTTTGGCCTCGACGGCCAACCTCAACGGAGACTAGCCATCGGCGCAGTACAAAATTATAGTGTCCTCCCCCTCAGTCCCATAGTCCGATGGGATGACACGACCAAAGAGAGATCAGGCGCACCAACGGCCAACGGCGTGCTTTCCGAGGCATGGGAGTGAAACACTTCCCGACTCCGAGCTGTTATTGAGAGAATTTCTTTGATAGAAAAACTCAGAAACAGAAGCAGAAACTTTTTTATGCAATGTAGATTATAAATAATACTTATTGAAATTCACTCTTATGTTTAATTACCACTAGTTCGAAAAAAACTTCTGTCCTGGGAAGGACCAGCAAGAAACCCGGTGGGACTTAAAAAAAACCAGCTTACAATCATGTATGTTTTAATTTTCTTAAATTTTTGCAGAGCGACTGTTTAGGATTTAAATCATAGATTGCTCGTATAGCCCTCTTCTGTAAAACAAATATAATTACAGTGTCAGTCGCTTGTCCCCATAGCAAAATACCATACAACATTATGCTATGGAAATAGCTAAAGTAAACAAGTCTAGCTGTTTCAACGCTGGTAAGATTTCTAATCTTTTTACAGCATATGCTGCAAAACTAAGTCTGCAATGCTGAATCTCCACGTCTAGTGTTATTCCAAGAAAAATTGTGGTATCCACAAGACTCAGTTTCTCCCCATTTAAAATTACATTAGTATTTGAATGTTTGACATTTGGAGTCAATTTGAATTTCATACATTTCGTTTTAGTGCCATTTAAATGCAAGTTATTAACATTAAACCAATTCACTAATTTAGATATAGTAAAAATTACGTTTCACGTTGTTTGTCCGCCATGAACTCCTAAACTACTGAACTGATTTCAATGAAATTTTGCACACTCTGTGTGCAGTTTGGTCCAACTTGAGAGATAGGATAGTTTTTATCCTGATAAGTGACCTTCAATATTTTTTTATTGCGAATTTAAGGATTTTTTCACAGGAAGGGTCGTCGGAAAGGGCAGAACAACGTCCGCCTGGCCAGCTAGTTTACATATATTTTAATAATTGTTGTTTTAATTTGAAAATTAATGAAGTGTCATCAGCAAATAATACTATATTATGGTTATCTATACTTACATATAATAAATCTGTAGAAAAGTCGTGTTTGTAATTCTAATATATTCTTGACGAACTAAGTCCAGACTAAAGGAAGGCTTCTGAAGCTAAATTTGTGGTTTTTAGAATTTTTGTCTGTGTATTCCGGATTCACTCAAAAACTATTGGACTAATTTACATGATAATTTGTGTGTAGGTAGTTAGTAACCCGGGGTAACTTAATAGGCTACTCCGATTTACGATTACGGAACTTCAAAAACAGAACATTAAGTATTATCCTTCCTTACATGTTAATTTTCTACTATATCTTAGTTATAGGATGGATGACGGGTGTTTTTCAAATAAATATCATATTTATAAATCATCAAGCCGTTTCTCTGTTGAAAGAACTGACCACCTGGTAATTACTGACGTTAAACATTAGGTTGTACACTTAATACATAAAATATGAATATTGTTGCTATTTAAGAACAATTCAATTTCTAGCTCTTTGCCTATCATGCCTTGTATATTTTGTTGCATCAGGTGTAAAAAAAAATTATTATCACTGCATTTCGCCTGGTGAGTGCAGGTGGCCGAAGGTCTTGAAGGTACGGACCTATCCATCCTTTGGCTGCGCGTAGACTGCGACGACCATCCCCGCGTCTACGGGTGCCTGTATAGGTCCCATAGCGGTAATGCTGACCGACTTATCGAACACGTCCAAATGGCTGCAGACTCCGTGCTACAACAGGTCCCATCCGCAGAGATCGTGATGCTCGGTGATTTTACGCAAACCACGCTGAATAGCTTGGTTCCCGTTTAACCGATCATGCGGGTGGATCTGTTTATGATTTTGCCTTGGCATATGGTAACACAACTGGTTACTTCGCCTACGCGGATTCCAGATGTGGAGGACTATGTACCTTCCCTGTTGAACCTTCCGCTGACCTCTCATCCGGACGGATATCAGGTCTCTGTCGATGTCACTCTGGGCTCTTCGGACCATTGTCTGATCTGGAGTACGGTGCCACTCACGCTCCTATCGTAGTTGCAATCTGTAGCTAACCGTCGTGTTTGGCACTATAGGTCGGCGGATTGGGACGGGATGCGGTATTTTTTTGCATCCTACCCTTGGGCGGGTTTGCTTCTCGCCGGATGATCTCAACGTTGTTGCTGATTCTGTCACTGATGTGGTACTTCAGGGAATGGAATTATTTATTCCATCATCTGTGGTGCCTATCGGAGGCAGAACTCAGCCATGGAGTTACCGGGATGTTAACACCAGCGTCTTAAAAAGAAGTATAATTCCGCCTCCAGGTCCTTCAAAAGTGTCATTGCCAAGGCAAAGTCAGAACTTCTGTCAGCCATCTCTGCTATCTCTGCACAGGGTGGACGACTCACTGGCCCATGACGCAAAGGAGAAAGCCGATCGGCTAGGCTCTATTTTTGCTTCCAACTCGACTCTAGATGACTGAGGAACACACCGCCGACCATCTCGCGGTGTGAGTGCTCCATGCAGGAAGTGCTGTTTACACAGCGCTCGGTGCGTAAAGCACTCCTCTCCCTGGACGTAAACAAGTCGAGTGGGCCTGATGGAATCTGACCTATTGTGCTGAAGACGTGTGCTCCGGAGTTGGTACCGGTTTTAACGCATCTTTTCCGGTACTCCTATTCCCTAGACGTAGTCCCGAAATCATGGAAAACAGCTTTGGTCCACCCGATCCCTACGGCCTATCGCTATCACCTCCTTGTTCTCCAAAGTAATGGAAATTATTATTAACTACCAGCTCATGCGGTACCTTGAGGATCACCAGCTGATTAGTACGGTTTCCGTCAAGGTCGCTCAGCTGGTGATCTTCTAGGTTACCTAACTCATAGATGGGCGGAGGCAGTGGAGTCTAAGGGGAAGGCGTTGGCCGATAGTTTAGACATAGCGAAGGCCTTCGATCGGGTTAGGCACAAAGCGTTTCTTTCGAAGCTTCCTTCCTATGGGCTTCCCGAGAAATTGTGCAATTGGATCATCAGTTTTCTTGCAGATCGGAGCATCAAGGTCATAGTAGACGGTGCATGCTCCGATTACAAGTCCATTAACGCCACCAACGCTGTTTCTTCTGCATATCAATGACATGTTGCAAACCGGTAACATTCATTGCTATGCAGACGACAGCACTGGTGATGCTTTATACACCGGCCGCGCTAATATTTCTAGGGAAAACGTCGCCGAGTACCGGAACAAACTTGTGTCTGAAGCCGAGACTTTGTTGAACAAAGTCTCAGACTGGGGGCGACTAAATCTAGTCCACACAAGTTTGCGCGTTTACCGCTAAAAGAACGCCTTTGTCGTATCTCCTCAGTTTCAAGACACTCCCCTTGTTGTCTCAGCCAGTTTTGGAATCCTCGGTGGCGACATATCCAGTGACGTGCAGTTTCGTGATCACTTGGAAGAGAAGGTCAAATTGGCCTCTAAATTTGGCGTGCTCAGCAAAGCGGGACAGTATTTCATGCCGGCACATCGCTTGCAACTTTACAAGGCGCAGGTTCGGCCTCACATGGAATACTGTGCCCAGGCAGGGAGCCCCCAGTACCAGCTCCTTCCACTTGATGGCATCCAGCGCAGGACGATTTGAATCGTAGACGACCGAGTTCTTTCCGATTGGTTTGGCCCACTGGCACTGCGTAGAGACGTTTCATCTCTTTGCGTATTTTATCGCATCTACCTCGGGGAGTGCTCTGAGGAATTGTTCGGACTAATTCCAGCCGCTCAATTTCACCACCACACATCGCGACAATACTCGCGACTTAAAAGTAGTTTTCTTCCTCGCACAACTTTCTTGTGGAATTGATTACCACCAGCGATTTTTCCGGACCGATACGACTTAGGAACCTTCAAGAAAAGAGCCTACTCCTTTTTAAAAGGCCGGCAATGCATCTGCGATTCCCTTGGTGCTGCGGTTGTTCATGGGCGGCGGTAGTCACATACCATCAGGTGACCCGTATGCTCGTTTGTCCCCTCTCCTATAAAATAAAACCGGGAGTCGGTCCCAGAACCACTTAATCAGCAGTCGCGCTCACGACTACCAGACCAACGAGAGAGTAGCGATAATATTTTTTTTATACCTTCGAGGTTAGTGTACTGATTAAGCTGATTTTTAATTTACAGATGAACATGCATTCAAATTGGTTCCATAAACAATATTGTTAACAAGGACGGTTAATATGTTTTTTGAAAAACTCTATTATATATTTATCATATAGCCGTAGCAACTAGTACTTAAAGGTGTTATTACTAGAATTTTGAATTACCTGTTACAGAGTTATGAATAGAGCCGGCATCCACACCAGAGTTATCAGGCTCAGAGTGCGTCTGACTGTGCTGCCTTCGAGGAGCCAAGTGTTGAGCAGAATAGTGTCCGCCCATTCCGCAGTCATTTCCACCCTCTGACCGTCTGCGATCATTTTATTAAAACAGTTCACATTTTTTCTGTATAACAATACGCATAATTGATTTGAAGACCTCAAGGAAAAATTTAGAGGATTTACATATTATACAATTTTCCAATTTCGTAGTATTATAAGTACTCGTTACTTTTAAAATTATTATAAAAATAACGTAACCCAATAGCATATTACAATACTTTAAAAAGAGGTTAAATAAGTTTGAAATTTAATTCTTTTGTTTTGTCTGCAAATTAACTAAGTGCGATTTATTGTGAATAATTTATAATAGTAAGTTTGATAGTGAGAAATTTGTATCTAATTTCAAATATTTCGTGATGATATGTGATGAGTGATGTCTGAAACAGCAGTAAGTTAAAAAGACGGAAAGGTGTTATAATAATTAAATAGAATAGAAGTGTTTTTGAGAAAATATTTTATGAGAAGAGATTATTTTATTCCTTTTTTATTAGTTTAAAATTATTGAAAGCATTAGCTTTAAATAAATACAAGTTAAGAATTATATTTAATAAAACGATGAAGAAATAGAACAGATATTCGTTTAACTTAACGCACACAACTTTTCAAATAAATGTTATAAACCATTAATTAATACATCGATAATATTTACATGTGTAAAAAATAACATGTGCATAGTATGTTACATATTAATTTTCCTTATGTAAGCGGGTGTATGAGTTGTAAAATACAAACAGTGATAACATGTATACAAATGCTACATCTAGCTACTCGAACATTGCCAAATTTACAAGCTAAGCGGATCTCCAATTGACTCTATTTGACTTACTGTTTCCACAACCGTCTCCTAACAGATGCAAGAAAGTAACAAAAATGAAATTAAAAACCATAATGATGGGGAAAATTTTGATTATTCTCTAAATGCTTAAGCCAATTCTTAATTAATGCTAAATAAATGTAATATATAAGTAGTGACTTAATAAATGGATAACGAAACAAAATGCCATGTATAAAAAATAATTATATTTGATAAAATAAAGCTATGAATTTTTGAACCAATTTTTTATAAATTTATTTAGTATCCTATGAATATTTATCTTGTTATAATTTTGCACGGTTTGCATTTGAACTCAGGAATTTAAAAAGTTCGTGTTCATCTAAAACTATATTTCCTACTTTCTCTAACAGAGAATGAGCCTCGCCAAACAAATAAAACGTAATTGTCAGCAACCAATAAATATTCCAAATAAAACAAATTTTCTAAATATGTGCGAAACCCCTTCTCCCATTTTACTAAAGCGAAAGAACGAAAGTCTCATTACATACCGTCTAGTGTTGTTCGCTGTGCGTCGAGTCCCAGCTGAGATTGTTCGTGGACGAAGGCTGTGAGTGTCGGGATGAATTTCCCGCACTTCTGGTAAGAAGGCGTCATCGGTGGTTGATAGGGCTGACGTCAAATAAAATAGGCATTATATAAACAGGTTAATTGTGAGCGTTTATTACTAGATCTAGCTTTTTCGTAAATTAGGTAAATATTGCATATTAGACAAACTTCTTGCAACTAAGCGCCGAGAAAGGCAATCCTTCATTGTTATCGTTAGCCTGTAAATGATTTAATGCGGAGTCTGGAATTCTACTAGTAAAGAGGATTTGGCACTTGGTAAGTGTATATTCGATTGCAAAGGCGTCTCTCATCTTTGATACTACTTCACGTTGCGGGTCTGGCTTTGCCTCTGCATCATTTACGACATACATAAGAGGAGAGTGAAGTCAATAATTTTTTAAGGTGTAATACTTAAAAGGTTTAATGCGGAATCTGTCTTCTATCATTAAGCTATATATCTTAAGACCCTTCCTAGATCAGATAAGATCTATATCGGGTCAATTCTCTTATACAGCTATCATAATAAAAAAAAACTTTTTATGTCAATTAGTCCAATATTAAGAAAAGAAAGATAAATTATTTATTAGATCAAACACCAACACATGTTACAAAAAATATTATGCACTAAAAAACTTATAACTACAGACTAACAGAAAATTAAAACCTAAATAAAATCAATACAATCAAAATTTTATTATGTGTGCGGGTTTGGTATAAAAGGGCTACCACTCAGCATTATTTCGTGGTATTATCAACGAAGCTGGTTTTCAGCGCGCCCTCTATTATGTTTTTATCTATCTAATATATTATATAAATAAATAACTAATCATTGCGCTATTTTTTATTACCTTTCTTATCTTCACTAGGTTCAGTTCTATTGCTGTCGGAAGATCTCTGACGAGCAGGTGTGATTGGTACTGTCGGCCTAATCACTGTTACGTCTGGACCTGCAGCGCTGCCAGCTGAGGATGTTGATATAGAATCTGCCTCTGGTTCTTTTTCAGCCGCTGCTTCGGGTCCAGATTGAGGAAGCTCATCCTAAGAAAGTTGAATAGCAGCGTCATGTTTTAAACTTTAGTCATCAAAATACTTAATTATATTTTTATAATGTAATCACATCCTTGGTACTATCGAAAATAGTTCAACATAAATCGTGTGTGAATATACAACATGGTAACAATTACAACAAAAATGACAGATGCGAGAACATAACAGTGGGGCTTATGTGTAGTGAGGCTGCGCTAGGTGACAAAAAGCACGTATAAATTGATGATTGCTTTGTAAAACATTGAAAGCCGACAGTGAAATTATCTAATTTGCATCCATATCACCAAATTAATTAACAATAATCAGTTAAATATCATATTTATAAATACAAAAACCAATTACCATAAAAATTTCAACCGACTGCGCTAACATTTTGCTTGAAAAAATGTAGAGAACTAGATATAGACGCATATTTAGGCATTTCATTTCATGAGTTGTAATATTGTTCAAGATTGTGGTGCTGCCTCACAAGACACTAAGCGCAAGAATATTAATATCGGTAAACGAAACGACGTTCCGAATTTCATTCTTGTTTACTAAATTAGAATCTTAATATTCAATTTTACTGGAAACATCCTTACTTTTCTAGATTAGCAATAATTGTTAACTAATTAAAAATTCCAGCACCCAAACATGTAAATGTGGTGTTAAAAAGTAAAAACATAATAACATCACTACATGCATCTTGTTCGTTCAATGAATATATTATATATAATATATTAACGTAAACAAATACGGATAAAAATATAAAATGTTTAAATTATTTAAACATAAAGTTATTTCCTTTTATGAAACTGGAAAATGATAAAAGCCATTTAGGACGCATGGAAATTGACTTAAGCATATTTTTATACAAACATAAGGAAAATTCACAAGTAATTTCGTAAGAATTGAGTTTATACTGATATAAACTTAATTCTTAAGTAAACTAGTAATATTTATCAGGTTTGAGTGCTGGAATGGAAGTAAAATTGCGTGAGAGGGTCTTACATCTGTGGGCTGTGAGGCTTGTTCGTCCTCCTCCTGCACGGGACGGACGATGAAACGAGCAACGCCCGTGTCGCTGTCTGACAGCACCTGCGTCACCATTTGTAGTGACGTCAGAACAAAACAGGCGTGAATTTGGGTATATGGGATAGATTAGTTTGGAAAAGCAAGGGAGGGTTCGGTGACTTCATCTGGAGCATATTTTTAGATATTTTTTAAAAATAAAGTAACAGTCTATAAACATCTGTAGGAGTATATTTTAGAAAGTGGACACCAGCAAAATACTTATTTTAAACTGTTTTTGGGCTTATAAATGCTCTACGGTAATTTCGAATTTGACTGGATATCATCTAATTTAAAACTGTACGTGCCCTTGTATTTTTGGTAGATTTTATCAATTTTGTTATGACAAACATAGTAAAAATGCTTAAATCTAATAAAATACAATAGAAACTTTATAGTTGTTCGTAATTTTGAAATTGGTTGTTTTGGCTTCCGGCTCTGCCCTAAATATTATTTGTATATAAATATATAATAACTCAAGATTTGTTAATGCGTGCTTTGTAAAATAATTGTTTGAAACTTTACCATATTGTAGCCTAGTGGGAGAAATTAATCAACTCGTAACGAGCCAGCGTGGCTATTTTTAGTCCTCCTCTTTGAACTATTTATAATTTTTTAACTCTTAATAAAAATGTTTAGGCTGGTTACTTTTTCATACTCGTAAATCTGTTTGCTTTGTAGTCATTTAAACATGTAATTTGATTTATTAAAACGGGTCAGAAAAATATGCTACTAAAAAGTATGCTCAAATGAAGTCTAAAAGTAAAGCATGAGAAAAGGAAACAACTACGACAATGTGGTTTAACAAAACAAAAATGAAAAACATACCGGGTGTTTGTGAAAGGGTCCCGAAAACGAAGACAGACGATAGTTCTAACGATACCTTTGATGATGGGTCAGAAAGAAAATCGATCCCGATGAAAAAAAAAATCATCTTTTCAAGTTTTATTAGCTTTATTCACACTTCATCATGTTAGTACAGCTAAATGAAATGATAATTTCATAAAAAAATCATGAAAATACTTAAACATGAAACCAGCAGTGGAATTTAAAATGAATATTAAATGAACATATTAGCTGACAATTAAATTAACGTATTAACTCGCACGCTGTTCGAAAAACCGGGCACCAAACCTGATGGTCGATTAAAATATGGGTAGATTTATTTAAGGATCGCATACTAGGACCAGTGTTTCTGCCACAGCGACTTAATGGACAGCGATACCTAAACTTCATAAATGAACAGTTGGTTGATATTTTAGACGACCTATCGTTGGCTGAATATCGCCGCACATGGTTCCAGCATGATGATGCACCTCCACATGTCGTGAGGTTCGTTCGTGAGCGCGTCTCCGAGCTTGACTACACTCTTGCCCACCTCGCTTACCAGATCTGACCCCGTTAGACTTATTTCTGTGGGGGTTTGTAAAAGAAAGGGTTTTTAATCGTGAGTGTGATAGTGCTGACGAAATGCGCCAAAGGATCGTGGATGTTTGCGACAAACTACGAATGGACTGTGTTAAAGACCCTACGATGGTGCCCTGCCTAAGTCCAAATCTGCCTCGAAATGAATGGGGCACAATTTGAGCCGCATCTCATAATGCCACGGAGGATTTAGATCGGTAAGCTGTTTCATACCTAATTTTATAAATAACTTAGTACTGAACTGATCTGAATAGGTACATAACTGAATAAATCAGAATAATTAACATATGTACCTACACGATAGATAAAAAAGCATAACTCTATCCTTGTTAACATTTCATTTAAGTAAATTTTTCATTAGCAGTGAACCGAACCAAGTATTTGGTCTATTTAATCTGTGAATTAGAATTAAAGTGGCTAGGTGGCACAAGCACAGTAGCAAAATAGTAGGTTAACTAGATAAGTTAGGTATTTAGATAAGTGTCGTAAGTTATTAGGTATTGGTACGATCGCTAGCTGCGGTTAGCGTGCGCGCGAATATTGACTCTATTATCAGCTGATTTATTCATTTTAAATTCCACTGCAGGTTTTATATTTTAAATATTTTGATGATTTTTTTTTATGAAATTGACTTTTCACAACGTCTTATATATATATATATATATATATATATATATATATATATATATATATATATATATAACGTTGTGAAAAGATGATTTTTTTTTCACCAGAATTTTTCATTAGTACTATCGTCTGTCTTCGTTTTCGGGAGCGTTTCACATACATCATGTATAGTTCGTAAGGGTTATATGGTCATCCGGTAAATATGGTCACTTTCTTATAACTCAAAAACTACACCCTTATTTGCATAGAAGGATCTCTCTCTCTCTCTCTCATCATCTCTCTTCATCAGTTAATCAAATAATAAAGCATCAAAAGGGCGCTGCTTTATCGACGCCATTTTGACAGTTGATATTATAGTAAACATTTTAGTCGATTTTAGTATTATGTAGTGTAATTGGTTATTTTTAAGTTTATTTTTCGAAGTAATTATTGCGAAAGCTTGTTTGCTATTTTTTTCTTAATATATTAGTTTATATTACACGACTTTGTGTTTGATCTTTGTCCTCCTCCTAGTTTTGGTTTTATAGGGCGACATAGCTGAAGGTGACCATATTACCCTCACGTACCTTAATATGATTTACATTTGTAAAACATTTAAAGATCAGACAATTTTTAATTATTCTTAATTATGTCTTAAATTTTATCTACTACACTGACACGTAACTGACAGTGACATGCATTTTATTTATATTAACAAATGCTGTAACGATCTTGATTAAAGATGCAAAGTAAATTGTACTTTTTCAGATAGCCTTAAAAAACTTAGATAATTAAAACTAATTTTATACAACATTGCAACATTTAAACAAAAAGTATCCAAATAGAATATGGATATGGGATATAGGTAAAGTAAGAGGTAAAGTTGTACCTGCATATGTTGAATGCATAAAATTCAGTTTTTACCTCTGATCTTTCGCTAGCTGTCCTCAGCCTAGCAGCACCGATTTGGAAACTGGGCGGTGGTGGACCTAACGTATCAGTCGAACCTCGATTCACTAAGGATGGGTGGGTCGCCATAAACCGATGTATAACCGCCAGATGATTCATTGTTTGTTCAGCAACGTCCTCAAGTTTTCTTAACCTAAATTCTACGCTCTATAAAAATGATAAACATATTAATTAATATTTATGATTATATTTTTTTGTGGAATAGTGTTGTAAGAATATCTACTACACCAAAGGGTCCCGCGGGCGTCGTAAGAGATGATACAGGGAAATGAACCAGGAGATGGGCAGGAGTTCCTAAAAACTGTGATTGCCATCCCTATAATGTAATCTATAAGAAAGGCCTATGTTCAGCTGTGGACTTTTAATTGGCTGGACATTATCGGTAAGGGTATTATTACTAACATATTATTATAGTTCGGACTGATTTCAGCCGCTCAATTTCACTCACCATCGCCACAAAACTCGTGATACCATCCATACCATATGGATGATTGGAGTTCCCCCACTGTGCGATTTATAAGAATTATTCTTCCTCGCACAACTTCCTTGTGGAATCGACTACAACCAGCGATACGACTTAGGGACCTTCAAAAAAAGAGACTACTCCTTTTTAAAAGGCCGGCAACGCATTTGATATTCCCCTGGTGTTGCAGCTGTTCATGGGCGGTGGTAGTTACTTATCATCAGGTGAGCCGCATGCTAGTTTGCCCCCTCTACTATAAAAAAAAATATATACATAAATTTTAATGTGACAAAGACATAAATCATCTATTAATTAACTTATTTTTATCATTAGCCCGTAAAAAGTCCAAAGCTACAAATAGACCATTACAATAGCCGATCGACTTAATTACTTAAAGTTGTAATAAAAAAAAACAGGAATCTTACTTGCATAGATTGTATTTGGCAATTAGCTTTTTGGTTCAAGTCTTCCATTTTCGTTGTGATATGTTCTACCCTATCAGTTGTATTCCTCACTCGTTCTTCTATTGAATTTGATAATTTAACTTCCTGTGAAAATAACAAAGCCCAATAATTGTCAGTTTTGAATAGTATTTAATACAAGATAAGGCATATTTACTAGGTCTTAACTTACTTGTTCCCTGAAATACCCTTCTATGCATTCCTCCTCAAAATCATACAGTCTCTCCATGTCCTCTTTCTCTAAGAATAACTTGAGACCGTTATCATATTGGAACCGTTTGTGTGAAACATTTCTTGTTACCCATTTGCACGTCGCATAAATGTGACAGAATATAATGAGTGGGGGTGGCAACACAGGTTTCTGTTCATATTCCATCACTACAGTAAATCTTTGGAACATCCACACCTAAGAATATTAGAAAAAATAATCATGATTAGTTTTTATTTTATTTGACCATGAAGATCAAGTTATATTTAAACATATTGTGAATTTATTAGCGCATTATTAAGAAAACTGTATATGTAATTGTTGAATGATATTCAATTAAAATTTCATATTCCAGACGGATTTTTGTCTTATGTTCGAAAATATAAGTAAAAAAATGTTAGAAAAATAATATAAAATTTACCTAATGGGATCCATTTTTAGCGAACATAGAAAGTGCATGCAAAGTAATAATATTTATAATCTTAAATTTGGAAATTGAATACATAAAATATATATATTTACACATTTTATATGGGACAGGATTTAAGTTTATTAGTACCTATATTATATTATATAAAAGTAACAAGCTGACATGACATTATGATATTATGTCGTACACTGCACGGCGAAACTTTCAATTGTCATATTGTCGAATGAAATAAAAATAATAATTTTATTATGTTAGAGTTTATTTATTCATATCGGCATTCATTCATTGTTTTGCATACGGATCTTACGAAATAACTTTGTTTCATATAATATCGTCTTAGGTTATTCTTTTGTCACATAAAAACGCTAAAAACGCGAAAAGTAGTAGTTTAGTCAACAAGTTCATAAACAATAATTAATATTGTTTCCTCTCTTAAAAATATGTGCAATAGTTCGATTTAAAAATTAAAAAAAATTAAATCATCAGAACACTTGAATAAATAAATCTCCGTAGGAAAAAAATTATGTCGATTTTTCAAAAAGTTATAAAACCTTAATGAAATTTTGTCACGTAATCTTGTAAGTATGTATCTGAGAAGTTCACCAAGAAGTAAAAAATTCTAGGTTAATTATTTAAACTTTTATGTCGACTTTTGTAAAAACAGATTGGAAAAAAAATTAGTTAAATATCAATCGTATCACTTCTTGAATAATCGACATATTTTTTTTCCTACAGGGCTTTTTTATTCAAGTGTTCTGATGAATTCCATTATTTATTTTAATTTTTAAATTAATATTTAATACAATAAAAATATTTTATGTGATATACTGCGTTCAGCGGGGATGCGCTCTAGCCGTAACGAGTCTTATTTTCGGCGTTAAATAAAAATAATAAATAATGGAGATAGAGTTTCGGGAGTCAAAACTTTTATATTGGAAATTTCCTCCTCTTTAAGGATCTTTTTTCAAAAGTTCTTAAATATTAATCGTTTTTGAGTTATTAAAGAAAAACTAAATATCTTTTTTTTAAACTTATTTTGTTAATAACAATTGCAATTTTTTATGCGCTAATAAATCGTCGAGATACATTTTTCTAGACGTCATTAGGAATCGAATGAGCTATTGAACATATTTTTAAGAGCGGGAACAAGAATTAACACGTTTTTGAACTAGTTGACTAGACTGTAGTACTGACAAGCAGAATGTCATAGCTACATATCTAAAATATTGCTATTCGCATATTCTTATAAGCGCAGAGTCACTCTTACGCTGCTCGAGGAAAGGAAGAGAAATTCTCTTAATTTGGCTCCTTAATAATATTAATATTATTAATTTAAACTACCCATTTTATTTTAGAAAAAGTGATTCTGAAATTGATTTACTAATCATATTATTTTATTCATTATTATTGTGTTGCATACATGCAAGACACATTGACACTAAAATAAATGTAAGATACATACAAAATATAATTAAACATCAAAGCTTACTAAAAACAATATAAAATAACATGTCAGTTTCGGAAAAAGAAGAGCAAATAAAATAAAATAAAAAAGAAAACCTGATGCGAGACTTCATTGACTTCGTTAAAAATATTGTTAAAGACTGCAATGAGTAGATTTATAAGCAAAATGTTGGCCACAAGCAGGTATATAGTCATCGCAATCGGCGTGATCCAGCGTCCAGTGACACATTTGCGATCCGAAATATCCAAACCGCATTCTGGGTCGATGTCCGAAGCGAAAACTTCGCCATACAACATGAAGTATGGTTGGAAGAAAATCTACAAACAATTGGTTTGGTGAAAGTAAAGTAAAATTATAGTTAATAGCTTAAAACTGATCATAAATCGTATAGCAAACAATAAAGAATAAAGTAAATAAATCGAATATAAACAAATTACAGACCGTACAACTTTAACCAAAGCCTTCTTTGATTAAAAAAAAATAATTAAAAAGTAACTTAAAAACTACCCTTATAAAAAATTATAAGACAAAACAGTATGGGACAAATACTAGGTACTTATCTACAAAACAGTTCCAATATCCTAATTAAACTAAAACTACTCTATCGTAATCAAATCTCGCAACAGGGTAATTAAATGTACGAAGCAACAGGACAACGACTAAATAAAAAATAAAATGTGTATAAAAAGAAAGTAAAGTTAGTATTTTCTTCTGCGACGCACACAGCTCAAGCTACGATACTGGTGCATAAATAAAATGCAACATCGAGTCTACATAATTGAACTTTCTAGTCGCAAACCTGATGCGACACTCCGTTGACTTCAATGAAGATATTATTGAACACGGCAATGAGTAGGTTGACGAGCAAAATGTTGGCAATGAGAAGGTATACACTCATGACAACGGGAGGCACCCAGTGTCCAACCCGGCATTTCTCAAGTCCAGGGAGGCCACATGGAGGCGCCATTTGTTCGGCGAATACTTCACCGTATAACATGAAGTAGGGTTGAAAAAATACCTGCAAGCGTTTAATTAGTGGGGGATAGAATTAAAAAAAAATGGTACATTGTCGCGTCGAATCACTTCATATATTAATTAAGACCTGACGAACATTTCTGCTGCTCAACTTATGTAAGAACATGCACTCACGCACACAAATGCAATTAAAATAAATCTTTTCACAACATGATTTTAGGTACATGTGTGAATGAGGGCTTGTTCTTACAAAAAATTATACATGGTTTCGGTGTCACTTTAAATTAGGTATAACTACGGTATAAGGTATATAATACGTAGTGAACTGCCTAATTTTTTTGTTATATAAAACTTTTTTACGTCGTAGAGCCACGCTGTAGCTATATATAGTTATAGCACGACTGGGTATTCGGTTCAGCCGGGGTAGGAACACGCTCTCGTGGGATACCAGCATGAAACAGTAGAATAATGCTGCTGTGTTGCGTATGGCGTGTGTAGAGAACCGGAAACCTTTTTTACTGGGAATTAAGCATTCTTCTATCTTAGTCCTCAGGGTTTTTTTTTATTTATTTATTAATGAATTTATGATACAGTGGTGTTACTTAATTCTAAACCAAGCTTTTACGTTTGATGGCGAGAAGGTTAAGGTGGACAACGCATCTGCATTTTCATTCTTAATCGAGGATAAAAATGTAGACGTCTATGGGCCGCAATATCCACTCACCATCAAGGGGATTGTGAGCTATTTATTCTACAAAAAATCATCACGGTTTCAGGTACATATGTGAGTGCTTGTTCTTACAAAAACTTAAGCATGGTTTCGGCGTCACTTGAAATGTACGCAGTGTGCTGCCTATATTTTTTGTTAATCTTAAAATTACGTCTCTTCATTCAGTTTACACGAAGGAAAGTCTATTTTTTAATTAACAGAACATACAGAAAGAGAGATTTCAATGGTTTGAGTTGCAGAAATACGTCACATGGTGATTAATTGATCATGGTTTTTTAATTAAAAAAGTAATTACAAAAATTATGGAACCCCGAGTAGATTCCAACGACTGTTTGACTGATCATTATTATTTCTTTGTAAAAGTGTAGTAACAGCCTATAGACATACGTCAAGCGGCTATTTAAAGGCATTTCATTCCTGTGAGGGTTTTGGGTCAGGGAAAATGGCCGCGCTCTCCAAATATCTGTTTACGGACTTCAGATGTACTCATATTTTTAATTTCTCAGTCTGATTCTCATGACGTTTTCAATCAGCACTTAAAATTGCAATTAACAATTTTATTGGTGCGGATAGGAAACCCCTTATTACATAAGTTAGTACGGCGCAAAGAATTGTGGAAAAGTCTTTACTACGGCCCGCAAAAATCAATTTTGTGTATTTTATTATTAATTTATTTTCTGATTATTATTAAAATTAACATTTAGCAATCTAAACTGCCATTTTGTTGTTGGTGGCTTAAAATAATCGATGATCTCATTTCGTCCCGTGAGTATTGTAAAATACGCTTGTGGAAAATTCTAGAAAAAAATCACGGCTCTACATAGATGATAGTATAACCACCCCGCTTACACCGGACGGTAATTGACCAGACTTGCAAAGAGAATCAAAGCAAAGTCTGGTACATACGTCAATAGCCGGGTACCCACCTAGCGCACAGGCTCGCGCGGCAGTCTCGTGAGCCAATGCCTCGGCTGATGTGGACGTGCCTCGGGCGCACGTTGCCTCGGCCGAGCGCCGCTCGACCGCGAGCCATATGTTGTCGGTAAACTTGACGCGCTCAAAGGTGCCTCAATGTTCGCTGTTCGTTTGATGTGTACGGTGGTATTTTGGCTCGCGAGGCTATAGTGTTTGTTTTAGTTTTACTGAAGTCATTTTAATAATATAACAACATGAGCAATCAGGATGACTCAATTCGTTCAATTCAACTGTACGGTGTGTACAAAATGCTATGGGATCCAAAAGATTGTTTTCGTTTTTTTTAAACAATAAACAACTAGGAAAGCAGCTGCAGCTGCAATTACACAACCATCCATTTCGGATGCTCGACGAATTATGATGGCTTGGCCTGCCTCGCGAGACATGCCTCTAGTTTCGGACAATACTATTGAGGCTGCCTTGCGAGCCTTTGCTCGCAAGCCTCACACCGAGGCTGCAGCGCGAGCCTGTGCGCTAGGTGGGTACCCGGCTATTACTGCGATCGTCAAGCCCCTGGCTAAGTGTGGTGATAATGACAATAAATGTTCTTTACTATGTTTCAATACTTTTAAATGTATCGCAGAGGGTTTTGGTAATAAAAATCTGTGTATACTTACTTCTCTTATTAAATACAAACTGGCTTCCTTGTCCGGGTAGAGTATCGCCTGACGCGCTACACCAAACGACATAAGTACCACTAACAATAGCACCACGAAGTATATCATATTCTTAACCATTTTACCCATCATTGTTACCAATGGACCTAAAATTTAAAACAATAAGATTGTGGATTGTTCTATGCAAATATTGTCGTGAGGAGTGAAGGGTGTTATGGCTGCAGTACGCATGGATGGGCTTGCCCGGGGTAAGACCACTCTTGCGCAGAATACCAACAGAAAATACCAGCATATTGCTACTGTGTTTCGTATGATCGGTGAAGTACACTTCAAAGACGACTTTTACTGGTAACGAGGTATTTACTTCTTGGTGCTCAGGGGCGACAGACCACGCATCTACATATTGATTTTTATCTGGGGTTAGATGTAGGAATCTATAGGTCACAGTTCTACTTAACATCGGATGGACTGTGTGCTCATATGTGACCATTACTTCTATAATTTTTTTTATGATTGGTGGATCCATATAAATATATAAACTTTTCTCTTTATTTTTCATATTTATTTTAACATGTTTGTGTATTGTATAGCGAAATGAAATGATTTTTGTACTACTTGTACTCAGGGTGGAAGACGCTGACGGCTATAACACAGTTTATAATAGTATGGCCGTCAACGCTAACTTCTTTGAAATGTTATTTTGTAATTTAAAATACATATAATACATACGTGTAATTTGTCAAACTGAGAGTCTAATAAGTTATTATTATTATTATTATTAAATTGCACTGCACCCACTTTCGCGTTCCGGTTTGAAGATAAGAGCGCCAGACAGGCTTCATGTTAGTTGATAGATGTGACACTAACACCTGTGGCTTTCTTCGTTTGGCGGCAGTGTAAGCGTTTATGGGCTGTAGTAGTCACTTAATATCAGGTAGACTGTTAGCACGTTCAATATTTTTTTTAAATAATGCTATAATTTATAACAGCTAGGGACAAGTATTATTTAAGATCGCATAGGCCTTACAACCCGTTTCACTTGATAAAAATGCTAAGGAGCTAGGTAGGTAATTTTACACAGTTCTTAAAAATCATTTAAATTAACTAAAAATAGTTTTACACCCACGCTATACTTACCTAAATATTTATTAACACCCAAAATATTGAGGATCCTTAAATACCAGTAAATAATATCGACGCAATATATAACTCTACCGACGTCCATAGAACTGGCTCTAAGTCGTAGAGTCAAGCCGACGAGGAAAAATATAATAAAACCCGCGTCGTAAATGTTCCACATGTTCCACGCCCACACACTGAACTTATGTCTGAGAAGCAAAAATAGAGATTAGATATCATTTTCATAAATCATTAATCATAGGACTGATTGAAAAATATTAAATAATTAAGAAAAATACTTTTTTGTGAATATAAAAATTTCATCATCATTATTTCAACACTAGCTGTCCCCGCGACTTTGCCCGCGTGTAATTTAGAGTTTTAACTATGATGCGCGGAACCCTAATTATTTTTCTAAAATATAAGTAGCCTACGTTACTCCTTATAACATCAGCTATCTACCAGTGAAAGTCACGTCGAAATCGGTCCAGCCGTTTCAGAAATTAGCCGGAACATACAGACAGACAGACAGAGTGTTTTTGTTATAAGTACCGTATATACTTTCATATGTATTTAGTAAAAAGCTGTTATTTTGACATTACAAAGAGACACTTCAATTTTATTTATTTGTATAGATTACAACCCAATACGAGTTTACCGCTGTACATAGACTGAACACGGTCCTGAGCCACCAACATCCATTGATTTGATGCATGTCTTAACAGGTCGTCACTTCACCTAGTTTCTCTGTGTGTTAGAATATAAAAAGAAGTTTATCCGTAGCAGAACCAGAAATGAGACCGATGAGGAAGAAAGGTTCTCGAGAGGCAACTTGGTACAGGGCAGCCCCTGCTAGTTGGAGTGATGACCTGGTATAAGAAGTTAATGAAACTAAATTCAAAACTTAACCATATAGAAGGTATTTTATTTATTGTACAAATTGTTTTCAAAATAATGAAATCTATAAATGCGACAATTTTCTGGATATTACTTGAAAGACTAAATTGCGACAGAGCACTCACCTAACGGCAACTGGTTCGGACGTGATAATTTCCCTTATCTTCTCACATAAGAACGTTAATATATAACATATGGAGTAAATCTCCGGCCAAGATGGTGTCAAATCCATCTTTACTAATACTGTATACGTAAACATTAGAAGGAACAAAATATAGGCGATCTGTAACAAATATTAGCTTTATATATACACAAATGTAAGACATAGGAACACGATACAATAAATTATAACAGTTCTTTATTTACTACACACATATTTTGGTACTATAGTCGATGTAAATTTACAGCTTATAGGTCACTAAATACGTTTCACTCCTAGACAAGCCTTCTCTCATTTCAGGAGTGTTTTAGGGCAAGGAAGTTTCCACTGTGCCCCAATGCGTGTTAACGGACTTCACATGTCTTCAAAATATTTATTTATATTTCTCTGACATGCACTTTTATAGGTAAATCAGCACTTAAAATTTAAATAGGTAATTTTTTTGGTGCCAGCGGGGATTGAACCCGGGTTGCTTCAGTCTTGTGAAATTTACAGCGAGCGTTTAGTTCTAAGTTTGAGCGTATTTATTACAAATTAGTAATCAGGACAGTTTTCTATTTATCAGTGGGCTGTCATGGATGCAGATAATGATGATGACGTCCACCTGACAGATTTGGCTGGACGTCGACATAAAAACAATAAAAACACACAACAAGAACAAAGATCCAGCAATTTGTACTCGTATTTTTATGTAACCCATGATGTAAACATAACTTGTCACGGCTCTTGTCGAAATGTGGTTTATCCGAACAATTAATTAAAAAATTAAGTAAAATTATCCTGAGTGAGGGCCTTTCTAGCTAGTAGTAGTACAAAAAAAAAATAGTCGTAACCCCGAAACAAATTGGATCTGGTACTGCAATATTGGGTTAATGATCGCATTACCAAGCGTCTCGCTTAGACACTGTTCCCCGGCGTCAATATTTTTTACATCTCAGATATACGAGGCGGTACACTGCTGAGCAGATACGTATAAAGAAGTAATATACAAAGTAAGCACAACCGCATCTTTTACAAATCTCATTAATAGCTTATTAAATTCGTTAAAATAACTTAGTAAAACCAATTTAAGCTAGAAAACTAACATAAAGTTTTATTGTCAAAGACTTACATATCCTAAAGACTTTATTATTCCGTGTAAAGAATTACATTTAAAATGAACGCGCGGAAAATTATTTTGAAGAGAATTTTAAAGAAAAAATTTATAAATCATTGATATTACACGAACAGTATACTTTGTTTTTATATTCCTGTTTCTCGCTAAATGACGTGAACTTTACTTTGGTACAATAGCGGTATCCTTATCCATAAACAAAGTAACGCCGCCATCCTACATTTTTCATTAATTAAGGCCAACCTGTCAGCTAAAGTATATAAAATAATTAAAACTCAACAAATTTTGTTAAATTAAAAAATTTATTAGTCTTTTGGGGATACAAAATGATTAAAATACTAACAAAATAACAAGGGCGGTGACTGCCACGTGCGTTATATTTGTGTCTTCCCTACAGAGGGCTTTCGTCTGGTTCGGTTTTATTTCATCATCATCATCATCATTACATCTCTTCAAAAGTTCCCTACCGAAAAAAGGCGTCCCCCGAGTAATGTCACTAAACATAGTCCTAAACTACTTCTACTTCTACTTCCAAAAGCTTCCAACATGTCTGCTCGAGCTTGCAAAAACTTTAAATCAAGTTTTACTATCATAAGCAGCTATACAAAGATTCAATAACTAGTCATCAAAGTTTGAAGATTAGTTTAACACGTATATCATTAATTATTCTGTACCTGTACTGTGATGATATTTTTTTTTATAATATATAAATAATTTAAAATTAAAATTTTGTACAACCGACTTCAATATAAAGTATCCATATAGGGACCACACGACCAAATAAAAAAAGAATCATCCAAATCGGTTCACCCAAAAAAAAAGTTATGAGGTAAACAAATAAAAAAAACATACAGTCGAATTGAGTACTTCCTCCTTTTTGAAGTCGGTAAAAAATATATCATCACAGCCTATAAAAGTTCAGACTCATAAAAAGGTAAATATCTCCATATTTTTATAGCTCCCAGGTGGGGTGGGAATCGCAGTTTTTTTAAAAAATATTTTGAGTAATTTTTTGAACAATGTTGCTGCCCATCTCCTGTTACAGTGTCCCTTTGTCGCCTCTTGCGACAGACAACTTTGTAAATACCAAAACCCCATATCGTCCCGTAGGTCTAATAATAGGCGGCAGAAGGAAAAAACCAAGAGATGGACTGCAGCTAGTTACAACTAGAAAATTAAACAAAAACTGTTCGCCAACTCGCCTGCCAAACGTGGTAGATATGGTAAATGTCTCCTTATTGAGGTAATCTAAAATGTCTAGTCTATGTCTATCTATGTCCAGCAGCAGATTTCATAATTATATTATCTAACACCTTTAAACGAGCAATTCTTGTATATGTATATAATCGGAATCTAGGAAACGGCTCCAACGATTTTCTTGAAATTTAGTATGCTGGTGTTTTCGGGGGCGATAAATCGGTCTAGCTAAGATTCATTTTTAGAAAATGTAGTTTCATCCGTGTTTTCAGCCAATGAAAATCTGCTACAAAATCATTAGAATACGAAGGTAAATTTCACCACTATCTACATAGTTATAATAGCTCAGGTGGGAAATAGGGCGGCCCCGAAACCAGAAGACCCCCGGTTCGAGTCCAGTTGTCTCCAGTTCGATTATTTTCCCCCTTTTTTTTCAAGTTCCTTCTTTTGACAGAAAAACTATTATTGGGAGCCCTTTATCAACGCATCTAATTTGTATCTAAGTATATTAAAAAAAACACGAAAAAATTAATTACATTAGTAAAGAAACAGTCATTGTGAAAATATTTTTATCCTATTGGCGATGTTTCGGTACAAAGATAAAAGTCAAATAAATAACTCTTTATATATAATCAACTTAAATATAAACTGAAAAATACGACTCTTCCTGACATCTATTAGCGAGAAATAATACTATTATTTATTGAATTGAAATATAATTCATAAAAACACGATTTTTTTAAAAAAAAAACCGAGCGAAGCTCGGCCATCCAGGTACTACAATATGTATAAATAAAAAATATTTACGAAGTACACGTCAATAAATTGGGTAAAATATGCAATAAAAAAAGTTTTACTTACAGAATCAGCCCAAAACTTAGTAATCGGCGCCGTAAAGAATTCGTATATTTTTTTCCTCAGGCGTAGAGGCCTCATTCTCTTATCTTCGGGCACGTAATACTCTGGCAACTCCCTATACGATGGCTCCCATCCTATTTTACCAACTTTCCCATTTTGATCGACACGAGTTTCGCATTCGGCCCCTGAGCCAATCAACGCCTGCTTGAGTCCAGACAAAATCGTATAAACGTTACCACAAGATGTTCACAGAGTAGAAAAAAGAAGACAGAATAGATATATCATTGAAACGAGAAAATGCAGACGCAATGAGATTAAGCAAGCTTTAGCATAATATTAAATACGTTAGTATCAATAAGCCAGAAATTGATAATGATATAGTTGACGTTTCAGAGGTAGAGGAAATTAGAGTTGATGAGCGTAATATGAAGCTTGAAACTCAATTACACAATATACCACAAAAGCTAATATTCAGTGCTAGAAGGAGCTTTAACGATTAAATAATTTTAGATTATAAAAATAAACAGCGCTAGGCTTAAATCGTAACAACCTTAGCCTGTGATAAACCTCTACTTAAGTTACGAGAAAACAAGCGATTTAAGAAAATCTTTTTTATGGGATTGAATTTAAATCAGTATATTTCAGCTATTATTTAAATAACTAACGGATATGTATTTGTATTATATAAAATAATATAAAATGTTAATATTCTAAAAGAAAAAAATGTGAGATACAAATAGATAATTGTAAATCCAACTGAAAGGGACATTCAAATAACAAAATTAACGAAACAAGACGTAATTTTATACAATCGAGCATTCACCGCTGTGCAGCTCATTTCTGCGTTAACCTACGAACACAATTTCGCTTTTGAAGATTTGTGTATTACAAAGCACTCATGTTGCATATTATCTAATATATTGAATGATATTTAAATTAAGTCCATGTTTTCTGAGGATGATAAAAATACTGAAAACTGTTATAAAAATAATTTACTAGGTTCTTATTTTTAAAGTTATGTTAATAAATTGTACTTTATTTCCTATATTTCCCAAATACGAAAAAAATATTGTTAACTTTATTTATTTACTTTATTTGAAATAGCACTAAAATTATAGAGGATTTTGTTTCCATTAAATTATAAGTCGGTACAAAACACAAAAAGCCAACACGAACCTGTAATAATGTTTTGACAGACAAGATACAATAAAAGAAATCCAATTGAGGCAGAGTGTAAAGCAATTTTAAGAATGTGCAGGTTTGTGTTTGTATTACATCAAGAAGGAGATTTTTAGGTGCTGAATTGATTCAGCAGTCGTCTACCTTTGTGGTTTTACTCGATTGTCCCGGAGGAATTATCTTCTTGATAGAAAGCGTGCGAAGTTTCACGCCGCCAACCTACATAACGTTACAGCGCATATTTATTCCAGAATACAACTAGCTCCTTTTAATAGTCTACTACAATTGCACAAATTTAATATTATGAGATAATATAGGATGCACAAAAGTTATATTGTTAGTAAAATTTATATGTACAATATATGTATTTACACTATCTAAAATATGGGTGAAATTATTTTTTCGAGTTTGGAATCAATTAAAGACTACATTATAATATATTAATGAGGACAAAAAGTGTCATGATCCACCACCCGCATAAATGTGAATGTCAAAAGCCAAATGGAAAGCAACTAAACATAAAACTTTACCTCGGCGTCGTTCGGGTCCTTTGTGCTTCTATCGTCTTCCATACTCTCGTTCTCCATGTGCTCCTCTTCCGTTTGCGGCATCAGTTGTAGTTCCTCCTTCGACTTGAACTCCAGTTGAAGAATGTACAGCGGACACAGCAGGCTCAGAATTACCTTCAGACATGATGACAAAGCCGATGTGGCAAACGAAACGCTGCTCGATCGATGCTAACTAATTCACTTTGACTTTAAGCGTTACATGCTACGTTTAGCTAATCGAAAGGTTCTGACCACGACTATTCTACTCGTTAAACACTTCTTAACAAAACATCAATTTACATTGAATAGTCGTCGTCTTGACAACGCATGCGTCTCTGTCTTTAAAGCTCATTGACACATAGACATCTATAAACTCGTAACCGCTCATTACGATTGATAATGTTAAAAGTTAATTTCTAACATTACCTCTACAACGACGTGCCAATGGCGACAGGTCTGTGCATTAATAAGGTGAATGGAGAAAGAGTACAAAGAATTTAAGAATCACATTTGAAGCATTTACCTTAAGGTTCGTATTTTTCCTAGTCCTTAAACCTCCCATCCATAGGTCGGCTAAGATGATCTGGGAGCAAGGGTGTGCGAGCAGCGCACGATGATTGGCGGCGACTGCGAGGCTCAAACAAGTTTGACCGGACCAATTTTGAAGTTCACAAGTCAACAGTTGTTGCGCTTGGTCGTCATCTTGTCGGTAACAATAATCAAGCAGTTCCAGTGCTGCGAACAAATTACTCGAATTAAAGTAAGTGCACTCCAAACCTTATAACGTGACCTCTCTTTTTTTAGAGGGTTTAGGAGCAGAAAAAAGGTGCCCGCGTGGTCCAAAAACGTTTATTGATCGACTTCACAGTACACACAGTTTTAGTTAACCTGTAGGTTAACGATGTATTTTTTCACTTCAGAGCACGAGGCAAATCAGCACTTAAAATTGTGATGAATAATATCAGAGGTACTTAAGTCTGGCTGGCGTACGAAATAAAAAGTGACTCGCATATTAATACATTACCATTACATATAAGATAACAAAAAAATACTAATATTATAAACGTGAAAGTTTGAGAGGATGTATGGATGTTTGTTACACTTTCACGCAAAAACTACGTAATGGATTTTCATGAAACTTTACAATACTGTAGCTCATACATCAGAATAACACATAGGCTATAATTTACAAAGGTATTGTACAAATTGGCCAAAATAAATATTGGTAAATCCAATTGAGCATGCCTTCGCATTAAAAAAATTACGTATAGCATGATTGCACGGAATTTTTTTAAAGTAGTTTATTTAAACATTGCGACAGTACTATCGGCTTCAACACCCTCGAAAACCATGAAAATGACACCCATGATGAAAAAATTTATACCTACTTCAGCCGCCATCTTGGATTTACATTTCGACAGCACTATCGGCTTCAACACCCACGAAAACCATGAGAATGACACCCATGATGGAAAAATTGATATCTATTGCAGCCGCCACCTTGGATTTACATTTCGACAGCACTATCGGCTTCAACACCCTCGAAAACCATGAAAATGTCACCCATGACAAAAAAAATTGTTACTACCTTACTTTTAGTACGTACTACTATTATTTATTCTGTGCTTTTAAAATATTGTAATAAAAAATCTCTTATTATTATTATAATCAAGTATTTAAGAAATTTGGTTATTCGAATATTGTGTATTTGTACAGCGATCTTTTTGAGCTGCTGCAAACAACCGAAATAATGTCCACTCATGACGGCGAGTGAGGCCACAGAGTACATTTTATAAACTGGAAACTGAGGCCGAACTGAGTTAGTGAGTAAACTACTCTGTGGCTGTAGCTCCCCATTTACAGAAATAATTTACACACAAGGCTACCAAATCAACGAAAATTTCGCCATTTTGGAGCCGAAAAAAATTAATTATAGCTAAACAAAACAAAATTACACTGCCATTTACATTCAGTGGCTTCCCACATGATAGATGAAGGTGATTAAAAATTAGATTGAGTTAAACAATTGATATTTTCGAAAGTTTACGTGTTCACAAGCCTTGGGGACATGATAAATCCACACTATAAACCACTAAAACCCCTTTTTTATTTAAAAATAGCAATTAATCAATTTAAAAAAAATATTAATAAGTTCAAATCATTTATCTTTCTAACAATGTGCTTTTTATATTATTTATAGGTATAATATGATTGCTGGATACGATATCATGCGACAAAACGTTGGAATCTTGATTTTTAGGCGCTAGTAGAACATACCCACGCGCTTTGCGCTCGGCATGCAACACGCGCTTTGCGCTCGGCATGCAACACGCGCTTTGCGCTCGGCATGCAATATAACGATAAATGTTAATTAAGTCGGAAAAATCTGTCATTTGCGAGGTATTTTTGCGTGCGGTGCAAAAACTGTAAGAGTTCCGCGCAAAATAAAACCACGCGGGCGAAGTCGCGGGGAACAGCTATTAACAAATAACATAAAAGAATGACATAAAATAAATTAGTAGAAAACAAACAAACAGTTTGAAATAGTTCGATCTCTGTTCCATTTAATATCTTGGGCAACTATGGAAATTACCTGAAAGATTCCAGGATTGTCATGTCATATTATCGATATGTCAGAATTTAAACATCCAGTCCGGCGATTGCGAGTAACTTAGAAGATCAAGATCAAGGCAGTCTATCAGTCAACCATGACAATTGCGGTAAATGTTCCTTTCGAAGTTAAGGCCCCTAATGTTCAGTTGTAAAATGTTACTAATAATTCAAAAAAAACTGCATATTAGCGATGTAAGAATATCCACTACACCATTGCGGTCCGTTGGTGTTGGTTGGTGTCGTAAGAGGCGACAGAGGGAAACAAACCAGGGGATGAGCAGCAGCGTCTTCCTAATAACAACTAAAAAATTGGAATGAACTTACTTGACGATAAGTGACTACTGAAGCCCAAGGACACCTGCAGTCAACTTTAAACGAAGAAGGCTAATGTGTGAGGACTAAGATAGAATGTCACACAACCTGTAATTATTCTTTTATAGCAGGTTAACACTGCTGTGTTTCGTATGGTGAGTGTAGAGAACCGGAGACGCGTTTTACTAGAAACGAGACATTCCATCTTAGTCCTCACGGGTGACAACGCATCTGAATTTTGATACTTTATTGAGGATAGGTGTGGATGTCTATGGGTTACAGCAACCACTTACCATCAGGTGGACTGTGTGCTCGTTTGTCACCCAATCCTATAAAAAATCTCGCTCTCTATAGCCTTCAGACAGAATAAGTAAGACTCCTAGCCACAAATGGTACCCTACCATCTAATAAAGGAGTCTTACCACGTAGTGTCTTTCGTTGTTTTTATAAAATGATTCAACATTGGTGTATTCATATAGATTAAAATTTTTTTTTACCTTTCGTTTCAAACTCCTTTCCGTAGTGTCGTAGCTCCTCATAAACTTCGGTCTCCATATCATCCTCTGCCGCTTCATGAGCCATTGCCTTATAAAGTTTGCAGGCAACCAATGACTTAGCCAAAGCCTCTTCACCGTGCGTCCACATGAGCAGCGCCATCTGGTGACGCTTAGTCAACACTGCCCACATCTGTATTAATGGAAGATTATTCACTATAATATATATTATTAACTGATATATTATAATATGATATGCAGTATAGCCAATCAAGATTACTCGTAACGGCGATTCTTTTTAATTTGTGAAGCGAGCTCGTGAAACTTTATCGATGTTGGATAAAATAACCCGTATAGGTACTTGACTAGTACGCTCAACCGAAAACATCGCTGCTGTTGCTCAGAGTGTGCGTGAACAAGCATGAACTCGTCATCGTTCACAAGAATTGAACATTTCACGCATTTATTTGAGAAGAATTTTGGATAGTAAAGATCTCGGTATGAATGCGTATAAAGTTTAATTAGTGCAAGAGCTGAAGCCGCATGACTATCCGATGTATTTTCGATTTGCTCAATGGGCCGAAGACCGCTTGATCGAATATGAGCATTTTTTAGCGAAAAATCATCTTTTCAGATGAAACTCATTTCCACCTCGGAGGATACGTCAATAAGCAAAATTGTCATATCTGGGACTCGAAAAATTCACTCGTCATCGTGGAGAAACCAATGCATCCACGAGTGACTGTCTGGTGCGAATTTTGGCCTGACGGCATTATTGGGCCATTTTACTTCGAAAATAAGCAAGGAAACGCGGTTACAGTGAATGGCGATCCCTACCGCGCCATGCTAAGCGATTTTTCACTTTAGAAAATTGAAGAGGATAATATAGACGACATTTTGTTTCAACAGGACGGCGCAACGTGCCACACAGCCAACGTAAAAATCGATCTTTTGGAAACTATTTTCAGCCGAAATGTTGATGTCAATTCAATCAAAAAAAAAACCTAGAAGATGCGATTTCACTCCGTTGGACTTTTTTGTAGGGAACCATAAAGGACAAGTGTTACGCTAACCATCCAGAGACGATTGATGATTTAAAACTTGAAATCGAAGTTGCCATTGACGAAATAGAGGCCCAAACAATCGAAAATGTACTGAAAAATTGGACTGATCAAATGGGTATTGTAAGGCTAGCCGTGGCGGATTTTTGAATAATGTTGTCTTCTATTACTAAATGGAAAGGTTCAATCTGTCTAATAAATTCATAACTTTGAAAAACTATTTATTAGCTTTTTTTTTATAGCCGATTCAAATTATAAACCTTAAATGGCCCATCCCGTATAATAATCATTGGTTTTTATGATCGTGTACCTTCTGACGATTTGACCGATTGAGGAAAATTGTTCACCAATCCGCTGGTTGCATGCATGCCTGCTGACGTATTCTTTGAAATATTCATGTTAGGCAGTGGATGTGAGCTGTAGAAAAAGATGAATATAGTAACTTACCAGTAGCTCATTGAAGGGATAATCAAAGAGCGCCATTTCAGAGGTGACGGGCATGAAGCCGGTGATGAGCGAGAGGCCGCCCGCATTGTGTCGGGTGAAGGAAGCGCTGTTGCGGTGCACGTTCACACTCTTGTTCATCACCTTAGCGTAGATTGGACGGAACTTGCGACGCGTGTAGTAACACCTTTACAAATTAGAAACAATGATTTTAGACAAATGAGCTGGCAGTCCAGAAAGCTACTACACTCTTTTTACTGGTATCGAATCATTCCATCTTAGGCCTCAGCGATGACAACGCATCTGCACCTTCATTATTAAACAATGATAGACATATGTCTATGGGCCTCGCATCCACATACCTTCAGGTGAAAAGTGTGCTCGTTTGTCACATTTATTTAAAGTTACAGCCTATATAAGTCCCACAGCTGTTCACAGGCCTCCTCTCATTTCTGAGAGGGTTTTAGGGCAAGGAAATATCTGCCGCGTTGCCCCAATGCGTGTTGTAATTCACATGTCTTCGAAATATTTTTTTCTCAGACTTAGACTTGCAGGTTTCCTCACGATGTTTTCCTTCACCGCGAAGCACGTGGTAAGTCAGCACTTCAAATTGCAATCAAAATTACACTGGTGCCGGCGGGGATCGAACCCGGGTTGCTCGCGTACTGTGAAATTTACAGCGAGCGCTTTGTCCCTGAGCTAACACAGCACTTTTACTTATATAAATATCACTGGTGGTAAAAGGAATCTGCAGTCAACTCTTAAAGACGAAAGCTACAAATGTGTTGTACCTCACGACCACGTGTAGTGGCTCATATAATATATAGAAGCCTTCACCCACTACCGTCTCCCTAGAATTCTGATTGGTTCACGTCACTGGCTTGCAGGACGTGGACCAATTAGGCTTGCAGGAAAGAGATAGATATTGACCGCACGGTGGTTTTATCTCTTTCTAAAGAATGGTCACTTTTGTATGGCTTACGGTCAGTCCATCTCTCTATCTATGCGCCAGTAGTAAAAAAACTTACATCGGTGACTTTGATCGTCAATCTCTTTGCCAAAAGTGACAATTAAGGCAAAACCTCCAGTAGAGTCACATGTCCAGCAATGGACTTTTACGGGCTGATGAGGAAACCAAATCATCAAATCTCTTAAATTACAAACCTGTACGCGCCGCCCATAAGCTTGTTTATAACAAGCCCAATATCATGCAGCGTGTAGACATATCCCCTGGGTAGATGCGGTCGGACGTCTCTCAGAATATATCTCAGTGTATTGCTTGGCCCGCTTTTTGTATTGTAGAGCTCCTCCAGACGCGGGATCGTCAAGAACTTCCTCATAGAGACTCCGTTTTCCAGGAGTAATTTCACGAAGTCTATCCGATCGTGCTCCAACGCTTGCATCATGGCTTCATCGAGTGCTCCTACGAAAAGAGTTTCAATTGTATAATTGTTTATCACGGATGGAAATAGTTTATAGCGAAACTACACTTTGAAAGAACCCCATTTGGGAAATTGGTTGATACAAGGACACGCAATGTTAAGGTCACGGTCATTCAATGATGGCTGGTTAAAACATGTATAGAATTTTTCTTGTCGTTGGTTGCGATTTTTGTCAGTTTTTTTTTTCCCTGTATGACAGTATTTCCTAACGATTGTTTTGTCATACACATATTAATTAATTGCCTTAAACCGAGTGTAGTCTGTAGTTTGTACCTTTCCGCCAACTGAACCTACTACTAACCGTTTCGTTTCGTTTCACTCCAAGCTATTTTACTTTCAGGTCTGTTGAGGTTTTGCTCGAGAAGAAGCTTCCTTTACTTTATTCAAAGCAACGTGCTTATCACCTTAAAATATCGCCTTTTAATACAGTGGATTAATAGAACTTTTTTAAATGTTAAATTATTATTACAATAGATATTATTAGCCGCTATGTTAGAAAATATCAACATTAGAAATTGGCGTCTTCAGAGTAGAGTCCTCCCTACAACTGAAGACGCCAATTTCTAATGTTGATATTTTACGGGTGGATAAAGATCAAGATGATATTGCTTAAACAGATTCCGATTTTGTATATAACTTCGATAATGAATAAAACTTGAAAGGGGTTCGTAAAGTTTCCGATTTCAGGGCAAACTCGACGGACAAAACTTTTTCTGCAATTTCACTTCTAAAATAAAGAAACTTATGTAAATAAAAAAGAAGAAAAAAGGAGAAGAAAGGAGAAGAAACTAACAGTTTGTCGGTATCGTTGTATTATTAGACTTTTCTATGATATAATTTTAAGACTGCATTATTTTCTAGCAAACAGGTTTTGTTAAAATATTTAGTATTTTATTCATCTATAAATTCCTAGCTGGATTAAGCGTTTAATATACAATGGAACATCCATTTTACTTAGTTGCTTAAAAGTCCTCGTTATGAATTGACCTGGAGGGATTTCATATAAAATGCCTTTAATTAAACAATAAGGATAAAATGACGGCTATTACTCAAAGCACCTGTGTTGATCATATTTCAAAATTCAAAATGAAATCCCTTTGATGTAACAGACAGTAACAGACATTTCCAGATTTTAAAGTCACAGAGTAATACAATGGTTTTGATTGTCATATTTATTACTACTCAGTAAAAATACATAATTTAACTTTGTATTCGTATAAAAGCTTTTAATACAGTATACGAGCGTTGTGTGTTCGTCACTAAACCTTGTTTTATAATGATTTCTTATATTTACGCGAACACAACACATTAAATAAAACTACTTTTACGAATTCTATCGCGTTTAATTATTTTTATTAATTCCCGACGTTCCCGGGTGCTTTACAGCACTCATGGTCACGGGGTCTGAGGTGATTGACGTCCCGATGTCAGAGTGAATCCGGAATACCTTCAGCTTTTTTAATTTTTAATTTTGGTCCAACCTACGCGGAATGAACTTACTGTGTCTTGAAGTCTTGCAGTGGTATGCTTGGGTTTAGTATTAATTTTATTAATACATATTTTTTAGAAATACATTTTTGGCGGGTATCATTCACGGGTCAACAGGCAATTTGTTCCAAAGACAGATGGAAAAGTAACTGTGAAAGAATTTGACATACACCAAGAACATGGCGGTAATAAGACGGTAATAAACTGTGTGAAAAACGGAGTTTATTAAGGGAATGAGTGTCACTACACTACAGAACACAACACAAAGTTAACAATGATTTACGTCTATATATAATTTATACATAAGCCAGGTAAATATTTATAAGTTAAGGGAACTAAACTAAGCAGTAAAGACTATAAATAGGTTAACTTACCAGGTGGCCATTCTTGACCATAAACAAATATCTCTGACCTAGCGATGTCTACTCGGTTCCAGGTCAAGGCTAAAGACAGCTGTTCACTAGGTGAGAGGTGCTGAGCTCGGAACAGCGCTGTTAATATAACCTGATCCAACTCTTGCACCTCGCCACCTTCAGCACGCTCTTGTATCCTAAATACGGTGATCTGCAGACAAAAATAAAGAAAAAGTTACAAGATTAAGGAATTCATCGATACAGCCCTTCACAAGTCCATTACTGAACGTAGACCTCCCCCAACGAATGCCACAAATCACGGTCCTGAGCTACCCTGCATCCATCGACTTCTTGCATGACTTACCAGGTCGTCACTCCATATATTTGGGGGCCGCCCTACACTTCGTATACCGGTACGAGGCTGCCACTCGAGAGCCTTTCTTCCCCATCGATTGTTGGTATTTCGAGTTATATAGCCGGCCCATTGCCACTTCAGCTTACTAACCCATTTGGCTATGTCGGTCACTCTGGTTCTACTGCGGATATCCTCATTTCTAAATTTAACACGCAGAGAAACCCGGTCGCCAAGCGTGGAAATTATGACCCTTATGAGCAACGACAAGAAATTAATAAAAATTTATTATTAAATTTGTTCAGAAACCATAATTTATCGCCTCTTACCAGTTAACTTACCAGGAATTCCGTAAGAAGTAAAGATGCACGATAATAAACTTTATAATATATTATGTATGTCTTCTTAAAACTTAAACTTTCAAATTATTATGGCTCCCGATATTAATATCATCCATAAATGAATGATGAATTACAAATACAAAAAACAAGTGCCTTTTATACAGACTTTTTATACAGACGTTTTGGCTCGCCGCTCACTTAGCGGTTAGCCACCGTAGAGTCTATATCACCTGAGGATGCCTCGTGTAGAGGCGAACCACGTGTCGTATTATCGTCAGTGGTGTGTCTTGCCTAGTGTAGTGGTGTTGGGAGTAGCGGTGCTGGGGTTAGTGGTGACGGGGATAGTGCACGCAATTGAGGGAGGGCGGGAGGTGCTCTTCATACTAGGTAAGACACATCATTTTATTTTATAACGCGGATATTTGCGAAGTAAATTTTTCTAAAAGCTTTTATATAATGGATTTCCGCAAAGTAACGCCTGATTCTATTATTTAAATTCCAGTGATGTAATATTTAAAGTGGTAAAGTTATCCTAACGGCGTACTACCGGGTGTCCAGTAACAGTACCGGGTATTTGACAGTTAAATAAAATGAGAAATACAATTAATTAAATATGTCCTTTATTTTTAATTCAAAAACAGTTTCTTGGAAATTTATTTGGCGAATATAACATTATCTAAATGTGTACCGCCACGCTGCTGGCACTCCTCTAACCTTGAACGCAGGTTGGCGACGACGCGTTGACAAAGCGAAGTTGGGATTGCCCTCATCTCTGACGTGATGTTCTCCTTCAATTGACTCAGATTCGTTGGGTAGTTATCGTATACCTTACCTTTAAGGTATCCCCATAAAAAATAGTCGAGAGGACTAAAATCTGGACTTCTGGGGGGCTAGTTAATGGTGCCCCTATGCGGGATAACTTTGTTTGGGAACAATTCCTTTACAGTTTTTATTGACGCCCCTGCGGTGTGGCATGTGGCTCCATCTTGCTGAAACCATGTTCTTGAATTAAACCCTGGAAAATCTTGTAATGCGGGCGCCAAAAAAGTCCTTAACATGTCACAATAACGGTCTGTATTCACCGTAACTGCTCGCCCACGTCTGTCTTCATGGAAAAAGGGGCCGATTATGCGTCTACCAGAAAAGGCTGCCCAAACGATGACGTTAGGACTGTGAAGTGGCCGTTGATGTTTTGTTTTAGGGTTTTCCTTGGACCAGTAGCGACAATTCTGTTTATTAACGTGACCGTTAAGATGGAAAAGAATATTGTCAAAGCTGTTGAATCGCTCTAGCATTTCAGTAGCAAAATTTAACCGACTTTCATAATCGGAATCCTTCAGTTCTTGGACTAACTGGATTTTGTAGGCTGTGAGATGCAAATCTTTCTTCAAAATTACCTGCAGTGAAGAGTTTTTGATGTTTAGTTCTTGTCCTCGTTTGCGAATTGATAGAGACGGATTTTCACGTACTGAAACTCTCACTTCTTCGATTGTTTCTGCACCTCTAACGCTTCGCGGGCGACCTGTATTTTGAATTTTAACAGTCGACCCGGTATTCTCGAACATTTTAATCCACTTTCGTATGACATCGTCGCTTGGCGCTATACGTGTGCGATATTCTCTGCGATATAAACGCTGAGCAGTAACAATGGAATCGTCATTGCGATAATACGCTCGCACGCAAAAAGCGCGATGCGTTCCGAGATACGGCTCCAAGGCAACTAAAGTTCCACCGTTCCACGAACCGACGCGCGCGACGTTGCCCTCCCCACGCCCCTGCTACTTCACTTCAAGCCGTGAACCAATAAACAAACTCCCGCTACTCTTAAGGTAGCTACTGACCTGCCTGCCGCAGGGGCAATCTAAGATGTAGGAGTGGGGATGACCCTTAATTGCCTCCTTAATTGTGATGTGTGTAGACAAGCAGGGGCAATTTTTTAAGTCGGCCCTGCGGCCTTCGATATTGCTCCGATCGCTGTGCTCCCTAGATTGCCCCTGCGGCAGGCAGGTCAGTAGCCGCCTTTACTGGACACCCAGTACAGGCCTCTGTGACTCTTGCTACCTGCGTGAAATAATTACCTACAATCGCGAGCTGCCCCAGGGGTATATCGCGGTCGGGGCTAGCGCGCTCTATACGATTGAATGTTAAAGTTTTTTTAACGCTGTTTACGTAAATAATTGTTTGTAAATACTTGTTGAAATACTCGTCGAAACAGTTTTGCTTAGTGTTTAGTATATTTAATTGTAGGATAAAATTGTTGAAAAAGTTTTAATGTAATTTAAGAATAATATATATGTATATTATCTATCTATTTGATAAATTACAATGGCAAAACGTCGTTCCTACTATAATTGTTGCGGGGATGAATACATAATGAACAATTAAAGGGATTCAGGCATAGATATAATCTCTATTCAATATTTCTATGGATTCAGATATATCATTTTTTGAGTTACCGAAAGATAATGAAAGGTAATTTTTTTTTGTTAGATAGGTATATAGCGAAAAAATAATTAAGTAATAATTTAACTACAGAAATAATACTTACCTAAGTACTTTATTACAAAACTTAGTTGAAATTTACTTCACTACTACCCAAGTACCCTCTTACATACCTATACTCGTCTTTGTAATTAAAATATTTTAAGTTATAATAGCACAAAATACTGAAATTAAAACTTTGTTTACAAGTTTTTCCAACTAAGTAGATTACAATCATATTTCTGTTAGTTTTATACGTGGTAGAGCCATGCTGCAGCTATATTAGTGGTATAGTTGTAGCACGAATGGGTCGGTTCGACCGGGGAAGGACCACGCTCTCACAGAAAACCAGCGTAAAATAGCAGCTTAACGCTGCTGTGTTTCGTATGGTGAGTGTAGAGAACCGGAGACCCTTTTTACTGGGAAAGAGGCATTCCATCTTAGTCCTCACGGGTGACAACGCATCTGCATCATGAGTCTTTATTGAGGATAGATGTAGATGTCTATGGGTCGCAGTGGCCACTTACCATCAGGTGGACTGTGTGCTCGTTTGTCACCCTATCCTATAAAAAAATCGTATTTCGGGTATATTTGTTGTTTACGCTATCTACCTATACGAACCAAGCATCGCGATTCCCGACGAATGGCCTTGCAAGTTGCATGTGTTGGGCATCACAGAACTCACATAGTAGATAATATGGTCGATTATAGTCAGCATAGGCACTTTACCTAAGTAACTTACCATTTGACAATGTATTTTTTTACTCTTTATTAACAGCCCTTAGCAACCACGGAAAGTCCGTTGTGACGTAGTAAGAAGAAAAGATGCAAAGTAATACAGACATTAGCGCGCTGCGATAAAGTTTTATTTAACTTGCGTGCGCGATTTATCTGATCAACAATAACTATGTAGGCTATTAAAACGTCGGCAATCAGTCAACATCAAAAAAGTGTAACTTCTGTACATAGTACTATTATTTATTCTGTGCCCAGTATAACTGCAGCTGATATGAGCCGGCCGCCTCTTCCGGGAAAAGACCACGCTTGCACAGAATACGTGCGTTAAATAGCATTATATTGCTGCTTTGTTTTCCAGGGAAAGTGACGGGGATCGAAACAATGAGGCTTTTTATCCTAGTCCTCAAGCTGACAACACATTTGGATTTTGATACTTAACGGAGGATGTAGGTGTTCCCTACTAGCTGCGCCATATTAAAAAGAACAGAGGACGCGTGCAAATTTTTTTTTCCACGATCATATGAGCATTACGATTCGCACGCATTTGGATTTTCCAAGGTTTTTTAAATTGAAATTGACATAAAATCATCGGAAAATTGGAAGTTTATAAAATAATAATTATAATGTTTTAGTAACTTGTGTGTTATTAAACTACTTTAAAAATTTACGTATTATCATGTTATACGTAATTTTTTTTGCACTTAAGGCATGCACAATTTCCTCAATCCACGACAAACCATTTCATCAATCCACGAAAAACGATTTCGGAAAAAGTAAAAAAATATTATCAACTGTACGTTGCATTTGCAAGCTTTATTTCCGGTAGTGCAATATCAAATAGTTTTTCATTTTCGAGTGAAATCCATGTCGATTTCAATGAGAATATTTCGCACCGATTTAAAACATTTCAAACATAGCAGTAACTGCATAAAAATATATGAATGAAGCCATGACACATGGCTTGCTATGCAAAGTTGCAGAATACAAGTGAACATGAGATGGTAATGTTTTTAGGCAGAAATGTCTAGAAAACCGTCGGGAAAGGTTTCACTCTCTTATCTATGTGGGCTATACATAAAGTTTTATTTTATTTTTATTTATTTTATTTTCAAGGGAACATACATAATTTTAGTCTAATGCATAACACATATTAATCTTACATTTAACAATAAAGTTTCCACAGTTAATTAAGCGAACATCATGACAAACTTTGGTGTGTAAAACTAAAGTTAAGTTAAAGTAAAATGTGATATTAAAGTGAAATATTAATTTTAACTATTACCCATTACAGTTTCTATT